TCGGCGAGGAGGCCGAGGAGGCGAAGGAGGGCGGGAAAGGGGAAGGGGAAGGGGAAGCGGAAGCGGAGGTGTTGATTCAGCACTGGTGGGAGCCCCCGGCGGGTGGTCGAATCGCCATCGACGAGGAGGCCTACTACGCTCAGCTCCCCGCTGAGGGATCCCGGGTGGTGGTGTATGGGTTGAATCCAGGCCGCGCGGCAACCGCCGCGGCGCCTTTTGCGCGCGCGAAACTCCTTTTTGCCTCGCGGGCGCTTCAGTTTGAGGTCTGCGCGCGCGCGCATCCGTCGTCGTCGCCGTCCCGACGAACCACCTACGCCGCGCTGGGAAAAGGGGAGACGCTGCGGATGGGAGGCGTGGTCGACCTCGCCGGGATCTTCGTGGGCGCGGAAAAAAACAACCAAGGAACGTTCTTCCTCTTCCTCCTCGCCGATGGGGGGTATGGGATACTTCAGGTCCCGTTGCCCTCCCGCACGCGGACCCTTCTTTTCGAGATTCCCGCCAAATCGGAGGGGCTTTTATTTCTCGTGATGAATGCTACTTTTGTGTGCTACGAAGATCCGCAGTGCGGCTCCGACTGTGCACGGCTGCTCGCGAATGAATACACGATTGTAACCCGACGGGCGTCCTCGATGTCCGCGAAGGCGGCGATGGCGGAGCTCCGCGTGCAATTCAACGCCTTCGCCAAGGGTTCGCCGAAGTACGCCGCACGACGCGCGGAGATCTTTCGTTGCGCGGCGGAAACGCCTGGAGGGAACGCGGATCGCCCTCCCGGTGGTTTCACGCCTCACAACCCCAACCCGAATCATCCGGAGGACGGGGAGGTTGAAAATCACGACGATCGCGCGCGCCGTCGGCTGCTGCGTGGGGATGTGGAGTCGCCTCCGTCGACGGCGATCGCGGATGGGCGTCGCGTGCCTTACTACCTCCGAGAGGATGCACCCGTGAAGGGGAGTTTAACCCGCGGGGTGGTTTTCCCGAAGCCCGTGGTGGAAGCAACGAAATCGATCGACGCGGGTTCCACCCTCTCCCCCACCTCACAAGGGAAGGCGAACGCGAATCATTATCACTTGTACGGAAATATCCTCGAAATGGCGTTCGGGAAGACTCCTAGTGGGGGGTTGGCGTCGTCGTTGAATGAGAATCACGGCGAGGCAGGGAAGGAGGTGGTGATCTTCAGTGAAAGCCAAAAGAATATTTACTCCTGCGGAATCCTTTCAACCCCTGAAATCGCCCTTCATCAGCAGCCTCGCGTGTGGTTGAGTGTTTGTAAGGTGAAGTGGCGCTATGGTTCGGCGTGCGAGGTGGGGAAGGCGGAGATCCACGACGCGGCGGTGCTGGATTCGCTTCTGGAGCCGTGCATATCGGCTCAGACGTTGATCACGACCAGCGCGGATGCATTGAACATTGAGTTTTCGATGCAGCGAACGGAATTGCTCAACCGTTGGAGGTCCTCTACGGGGTTTTGGTGGAAACTATTTACCCAATCCTGTGTTTCGGATAACCTTAATCCGGTGCAGAATCCAGTGGAGAATAGTAAGGAGCAAGCGCTTTGGCTGCCAAGTGAGTGGATTGTCGCTCAAAAGCTGATAAAGGATGCACTGAATGGGGTTCTTTTTAAGTTCACCGTGCGGGAAAACGTGGTGGAGCGAGTTTTTTACATCACAAATAACTGTTTTGTTTCGCAAATGTTCTGACACTCGTAGAAGATAGATCCTGCTATTATTGTCTTCATCTTACCTTTTCTTATCTATCGACCGGGATAATACTAGTCAATGCTTGGGAAAAGTGCGCACCATCAGTGTGGAAGTGATGGGTAACTGTGTTTTTGTCTTTTCCGCCGAATCTAATCCGTCCTTTTTTTCCCTTTTGCGGTTACGTGACTATACGTCACATTTATCATTAGGAGGAGGCTTTTAAAATTGAACAAAAACATTCATTCCTCAACGTCGAGATTGTGTTTTCATAAGCTTAATATATCGGCATCTAGAGGTTTTCATATAAACAGTATCATATAGTCATTAATACAAGGGTTAGCGTTCGCTACATTAACTTCGCTAAATTAATTCGTAATGTCGGAGCCAATAGTTCAACTTCTCGAAATCGAATTAAAAGGGGACAATCCCGACATGTATGGAAATCCGCTTAATTGGAGGATGCGTCTGGAGTCGGCAGAGATGCTGTTGGAGCCTATTACGATTTCGTTTGTTTGGGTAGGCAGCGCCTCCTCGTCGGCGTTTGATCAAACCCTCGACAGCTTTGACGTCGGGCCGCTTGAAAAGGGCCTGACGGAGATCGATTTAGAATGCGATCCGCCACATCTTGAGTTAGTTCCTCCGGGCGACGCGCTCGGAGTGACCATCGTGATCATTTCCTTCCAGTATCGTTCTCAGGAGTTCTTACGTGTCGGGTATTACACGCAGGTGGCGTATTTTGATAAGCATCTGAACGAAATGCCGCCGGAGATTCCGCATAAGGACTTGCTCGGGCGATTTATAGCGATGCCGCAACCAGCCATTACGGTTACCCCAATCGAGTGGTACGCCTAAGGCAAGGGAACAAGAAAAGAAGAACAGAGGGGAAAAGAAGGCAGCCATAAATGAAAATTGACGTAACATGCTTGAGATATTACAAAATATGCTCAATTTTATGTATTTTCTTCCCTAGAGGGTGAAGAATTCGTAAAAAATTGCCTGACGCTGCCTCTCACGCTAGTTGAGGGAGCCATTCGAAAGAGAAGGGAAAGAAGAAGGATGCAGAAGGGGAGAGCTATGCTACGGATTCACTGTTGAGAGTGAACATAGCAAGTAGGTAGCGGAAGAAACTTTGGAGGGTGTGCGGCGATAGGGAGTGTAAAAAAGTCCGTGGGGTGTCTGTCTGTTATGCTATATATGTGGGTATGGGAATAGAAATTTGCGGATTACGATTTGCATAGACTAATCTAAACAGCATCGAATCTTAGTTGCGTAAAGATGACTAAATAATGTTTTAGGGGCCTAGAACAAGCATAGACAATATGATTTACACACATTCTGTCACTCTCTAGAGTTAATACTCTTTTTTTATTCGCTAGAAATGCTTAGATGTTGCTCTTAAACTCTTTCAGCTTTATTTGGCTTGCTTTGCTGTCATAAAAACGTTCTCTCCTTTGCTCCCCTTTCCATATTTTGTAAGACAAATAAATCCTCTTGAGGTATCTTAACGAACTCTTTTTATTTGTGAGATTCTCAAGGAAAATGAACAAGTAACACACCAATATGTCTAGCAATAAAAATATCAATCTTAGAGTTTTGCTCTCTGCAAAGATATTTGTGCATCATCCTATCGAATTAAGGCTTTTTAACCCAGCTTACGTTTTTCTCTCTGATCAGAGCTGCCATGTTCATTGTATTTCGAAAGAGTTATCAGACCAGCACAGATCTTGTGTTTATTAACACAATAGCTTCCCCCCTCCTCTCCACACCCCCTTGCTACATGCGAACATGTTGGAGTGTATTAGTGAATTTTTATTCTGCGTAGTTACCAGTTATGTGTAAATATGCATTGTTTTGGCAACGGCTTTTTGTTTTCCTCAAGGGGGGGGGGGGGGGAGAATATAGTCCGATGAGAAAAACGGCGTTCATATTCCATTCTCTAATCAATTATCGATTTAGGTTGCTAAGGGGCATCGATTTATACAAAAACTAAGGATGTTGATTTGTCTATGATGGAGAAACCAGTTTTGGACCTCTTGCTGACGAGCATACATCTCTCAGAGATTTTTTCCTTTCGTGTGAATCTTTCTTTGTTCCCCTTAGTGGGGCAAATCCCATCTCTTCTATGCGCTTATCTGTTTGACCTAGACAACTTCATAGAACCTTGTCTTATAGAAATTTATCCGCAATTCATTAACGATGTCAATGAATAAAGAGATCAATGAGCTTATCCGCGATCGGAAAGCATGGAAGCGGGCGACATCTCAGAGCCTTCCTCAGGGCCATATTCCTCACCTTTCCTCCAGCCACGCACCGTGGTCGCTGCTCCGACGCAGCTCCGGCGATCACGCGCAGACCGCGAAGTTCGCCACTTCCCTCCGATTCGCATCACCGCGGCATGTGAACTCCCCATTTGGCGTCTTTTTCAGGGAGAGGTGGCGCAATAGCACGGCCGTCAAAACCCCACCGAAGGATCCCTTGTTCGAACTCTTCGAAAAGAACATTCAAAGACGAGGCTACAACGTTGTGAAGGACACTCTCGCCACTAAGCAACGGAAAACGCACCACCACGATACCGCATGCGAGGAGCGAAATCTGCGCAATGCAGTCATATTGTTTGCGCGGCAACTCATGGTTAGGGAAGCAGAAGAGCGTAGAAGTATTCTACGGCGCGAACGAGAGCAGAGGTCCGTGCTAAACGACTTCCATTTTGAAGCTTCTCTTGAGCTTCTTTTGGACGCTGAGTACATGCGAAGAAAGGCCATCTTCCAGGCTGCTCTCCGCGAAACTAGGGCCCTCGCAGAAGAGGAATCCGCAGAATTTCAGTACATCACTGGGCTTTGTCACCGTGTATATAAACGATGTGCTCTTCTTTGTACTCGGGAAAGGGCGGCAAGAAATTTAATTGCACATGAGGAGGAACAGGAGCGAGTAGTCATCGAGAAGATGCTTTGCCTCTTTAAAATATGTAGCGCGGGTCGAAGTCTTGAGTCTTTTAGAAAACGGGAGAATCAATTACTTCAGCTTCTTCCAAAACGATTGAAATATTGTTCAGTCTAGGAGATATCTATAGAGACTTTTTGCTATTAGTATTATTATGCAATTGGGTTAGCTTAGTAATAGTTAAATCAACCAAAAAAGACCTCCATACATGGCATTATAGAGATACAAGCGCTCATTAGATGAATTTGAATTACATAGAAGATGTAATAAAATGCCTGACTGAAAAACCGGGACCACACCCGTGGGTCTCGACACTCCAAAAAAAAAAAAAGGAAAACTAGGTGTATCGAAGCCCGTTTGTTGCGGGGGTGGTGCTTAACGTATTGTTCATCTACTCAGTGCCACACACATGATTCCCCCTCCAATGCTATCTTTTTATTCCTCTTGTGACATCTTTCACGGTTTTGCTTCTTTGTTTGTTGTGTTTATTTTTATTGCTATTCATTTCTATTCATGTAATAGTAGTAAAAGAACGATTAGTTGCACTTCCAATGCTGAAGCACCTGTGTCACGGCGAGGCGGCAGCTCAGCAGGGGGTCAAGGGGAAGAGGGCGAGGCCGGCCGTCCTCTCCCCGACCCCTCATCGTCTCCGGAAAGGGGCGCAGGCCCACGAGGGGAGGACGGGACCTTTGGAGAAAAAGGAGGAGGAAGGAAGATGGGAGGAGGACCCCACCCATCTTCCTTTACGCACGACCCCAAACCGGTCCGGCTGCCGGCACTGCCCCACGCCACGGTGCGTCTGCGTCTGGCTCGCCGACGCGCTTGCAGGGTGCTACGCCGCCCTACCCGCCAAGCGGCAGCTCCAGCAGCGCGGCAGACGAGAGCTCTGCGCGAAGTCGGTGCTGACGCCCTTCGTCTCGCGGCTTGTGCGACTCGCGCGGCTTCGCCCGGGTGAGACGTTCTACGATCTGGGCTGCGGCAACGGCAGCGTGCTCTTCCAGGTCGCGCTGATGACGGGGGTGCGGTGCGTGGGGGTGGAGATCAATCCAACGAACGCGGAGGTCGCGCGGGCAGCGTGGGAGGAGCTGCGGCCAACCCTCGAGCGCCGCTGCAGGCGCCGGCTCGACATTGAGATCCGCTGCGCGGACCTCTGTGAGGTTCTCAAGGGGGAGGAAGTAGTGAGCGCGCCGTGTGTGATATGGGCCGCGAACCTCCTCCTCCCAAAGGCGACGAACCACTACCTCTCCGAGCGTCTACGCGCCTGCGCGGTGGGGACACGCATCTTCTGTTTTGAAGATCTTTACCCGCATAATCGCTCGATCACCAGAGTCCGAGATCCAGATGCTTTTGAGCGTTTTGAGATGAAGGATTTTGTCTGGCAGCCGATGTCTGTAGAATGGTGTGACCTTGAAGGGGATTTCTATCTTTATACACGGAAGTAGCTGTTATTGACGTGTTTAATATCTTTCCATTTTTTTCCAGTGCACTAGTATACAAGCTATTCCACCCCGCTATTCACTTTACCGCCATTATTATGACTTCTTCTTTTGTACTTCTTTGTATTCTAGATTATTTTTTCGGGGTAATCCTTTGTGTATCTCAAATTTCTTCACTACGGAGGGTTTTTCAATCCTTGTGACTTTAATTACGTCGATTTAGAAAGAACATAATGTATATATATATTGATTTATATATATACGTAGGTATGTATATATATATGGCGATACGTGAAGCTTTTCGAAACATTTATTTTCCTTGGGTCCCCTCTTTGTTCTCTATCTTTCTTTTCTGCTTCTCTTTAGTCCTTGGAGGTTTGGTTTAGCTCTATCTGGTGTATGCAAGTATGCTTTTTATTTCAGGGGAAAAGTCCAAAGGGGTACTTGTCGATGTTGAGAGCAAAATTATCCAACGTCAATACGTGGTTGGTCAGCTCCACCGCTACGCCGCTGCTTACAATCCCAATAAGCATTTAGTCCTCGCGAATGAGGCGAGGGGCTGCTCTCTTTTTCTCACACCCTCCATGCAGCAGCCAGTGATGCGGAGCTTCACGCCCTCGCCGCTAACAAGTTGTGCGATTACCTCTTGTGGCACTTTTATGATAGCGGGGAATGAGCTCGGCAGCCTTTTTTCATGGAACCTATTGAGTGGGCAGTTATTGAAGAATTTTAAGGCGCACTTACGGAAGGTCAACTGCATTGCGATCTCGCATAACAACACCCTGGTGGTAACCGCCTCGGATGATTCAATGTGCAAGGTGTGGACACTCTCGTCGTTGCTTACTAGCGAGTTGAGGGACGTGCAGCCTGTGGTGGCCTTTGCTGGGCACTCCCTTGGGGTAAACTGCTGCGTTTTTTTCCATAACTGTGAGATAGTGGTGAGTGGCGCGTCGGACTGCACCTGTCGAGTTTTCGATGCGTTTTCGGGTGAACAGCTGAGGCTTTTGACGGTGGGCGACGTCGTTACCGCGGTTGCTGTCAGCGAGGACGACCTTGACTTAGCGGTGGGCACCAGTCGCGGGTATTTGCACTTTAGCTCGTTTCATCCAGCGGAATCGATCCAAATACTTCCTGTGAAACCTCAACCCCCGCAACAGATGAGCCAAGCCGTGGTGTGCAAACCCAGAGAGGATGGCCATCACTCGCCCATCAATTTCTTAGGGTATTGCAGTAAACAGAGTTCCTCGTTGGTGCTCTCTGTGAGTGAGAATGGGGCGGTGTTGTGGTACGACTCGAAGTCTGGGTGCCTTTTTAAGGAGTTGATGCCTCCTCAAAAGTGGAGGATTCACAGCTGCTGCTACCTTGAAGCCCCACCAGAGATTACTAAAAAACCATCCTGTGCAGGTCTCAGCAAGAATCCTCTAGACTCAATACAGGGAAACTATTTGCTTTATAAAGTGGTAGAAAAAGAATCCTCAAAGCTAGCTTCTGGTGGTGATACCGAAGGAGCACGTAAGCGGCTTCGGAACATAAACGAGGCGGCTGATCACGAACCAGTAGATGGAAGTCTTGCCGATCAGAAAACGCGAGATGAGGAGGCCGAATTGGCTGATTTGATCAAGAAGAATAAAGAATTAAACGAGCTGCGAGTAAAGATGATGGCAAAGCTGAGGAAGGTTAAGCTATCACAAAAATAAATGATAATCACCAAACAATACTATGGAGCGTTCCTTGACATCTTGGGTACGCTTTTTTGGCTCTTTATTGATTCTCCTCAAATACAAATGAATCCATAAAAAACTACTATTTAATAATGATACTGAATTATCCGCTACTTTTCATCCTAATCTTTCCCATTTAAATCACCTGCTTCGAGATCCCTCCGCACACACGCGTAGTGGAAATATAGGTAGAACGGGTGACGGTGCGATCTAAACGAAATGCTGAAGGAAGGTGCCTTTGATGAGTTTGGTACGGAATATCAGCGGAGAAAGCTGGAAATACTTCCGGAGATTATCAAGATGAAGGGTATTCTGAACCATCATATCGCCTCGTTTAACCACTTACTTGATGTGGAGCTGAAGAAAATTCTACTGAATGAATCAAACGTTGAAATCAAGAGTACGGTTGATCCGGACTTCGCGATACGGTACACGAATATTCGCGTCTGTAGACCGCGGGAAATAGTTGGTAAAGGGCAGGTACCAAAACAAGTTACGCCCTATGAATGCCGTATTCGCGACCTAACCTACCGAGGCGACATGATCGTGGATGTGGAGTACACTTCGCGAGATAAATCCCACAAAATGTACGTGGAGAAGGATATCAAAATCGGGTCCATCCCGATCATGCTCAAGTCGAAGTGTTGTAATTTGCATCAAAAAACGAGGGAGGAGCTTGTTAGCATGCGTGAGTGCCCACTAGATCCAGGTGGCTATTTTATCATCAAAGGCGTCGAGAAGGTTTGCCTTGTGCAAGAACAACAGAGCAAAAACCGTATCATTATCGAGGCCGACGATCATGGCAGCATACGAGCCCACGTCCAAAGCAAAACTCATTATTCCATCTCCATGTGCACAGTTCTCATGAAGAAGAGCAAGATCTACATGAGTCATCGCTCTTTCACCGAGGATATCCCCATTGTGATTCTTTTAAAAGCCCTAGGTCTGGAAAGCGATCAGAGCATTGCGCAGAACATCGGAACCACGCCGATGTTTCGCAAGGTGCTCTTCGCCTGCTTCCACGACGCCGCGCTGATGGGGGTGGTGACGCAGAACGACGCGCTGAACTTTGTTGGGGAGCGGAGAAAAGAATCGGCGTGGGAGTCGGAGGACAGTGCAGGGCGGTCGGTTCAACGATCCAAAGCTGATAAAGCAGCGGATTTTCTCGCGAACGTGCTGCTTTGCCACATTCGAGAAGGAGAAACGCAGCGGGACTGGAATTTCCATCACAAGGCGCTCTATGTGTGCTACATGGTGCGTCGCATGATCGAGGCGAGCGACGACCCCTCCTTGCTCGATGAGAGGGATTTCTACGGGAATAAGCGCTTTGAAACAACCGGCACGCTCATGAGTTTACTCTTTGAGGACCTCCTAAAACAGTTTAACCGGGTTGTCAAAACCGCCATGGATCAACAGCTATCGAAGAAGGACTCCACGAAGCCGTTTAACGTTAAGCAGCTGATGGAAAGTAAGATGGAGGTGATTCAGAATGGGATGCGAATCGCCATCAGCAGCGGTCGTTGGGAGCTAAAGCGGTTTAACATGAGTCGACAGGGCATCACGCAGGTTCTTTCGCGGCTTTCCTACATCGCCTGCTTGGGGATGATGACGCGTTTGGCCTCTTCTTTTGAGCGAACCCGCAAAATAAGCGGTCCGCGATCGCTCCAGCCAAGTCAATGGGGAATGGTCTGCCCTTGTGATACCCCTGAAGGGGAGAGCTGCGGGTTGGTGAAGAATTTCGCGATTTTAAGTCAAATTACACTGGATTTGGATGATACCTACGTCCGAGCGGCGGCGCATAGCTTTGGGGTGGAGGAGATCGACACCGTGACCCCGGAGGAGTTTCGCCGGTATTATAGCGTGTTCTTGAACGGCACGCTGATTGGCGTGCATCGCTATCCGAATCGGCTATGCCTTGGGATTCGTCAGCTACGGCGAAGCGGGCGGCTTCACCCGCACGTCTCCATCGCCACTCAGGAGCACCAAAAGGCCGTTCAGATCAGCAGCGATGGCGGGCGGATAGTCCGCCTTCTCGCGCTCGTTCGCAACGGCAAGCCTGCGATCACGCTCGCGCATTTGGATCTGCTCCGGAGTGGGTTGCGCACCTTGAATGACTTTCTCGCCGAAGGGCTGATCGAGTACGTGGATGTGAACGAATCCAACGATTGCTTGATCGCCGTCTACCCGAGGGATATCACGGAGTTCACCACTCACATGGAGGTGGAGCCGCTTTCCTTGCTAGGCGTCGTTGCGGGGATTATTCCGTATCCCCACCACAACCAATCCGCCCGAAACACCTTTCAGTGCGCGATGGGGAAACAGGCGATGGGAAGCATCAGCCTCAATCAGTACCATCGCGCGGATACGATCCTGCTCATTGGGGCCTACCCCCAACGCCCGCTTTGCCGATCGCAGGCGATGAATTTAACGCATTACGAAAAACTCGGCGCCGGGATCAACGCGATGGTCTGCGTGATGAGCTACAGCGGGTATGATATCGAGGACGCGCAGGTCTACAACCGCGCCGCGCTCGAGCGCGGCTACGGCCGCTGCGTCGTCCTGCGAAAACACGAGGTGGATCTGATGAAACTCCGCGGCGGCGCGGTCGACGCGGTGCTGCCGCCGCCGCCGAATGCCGGGGGGCGGTTTAAAGCGCTCAACCCCGACGGCCTCGCGAGCCGGGGGGCCCGCGTGACGATGAATGACGTGCTCGTGAATAAATCCACCCCCGAGGCGGCGCCCGGCGGCGAGGCGCGGCCGACCCCGTTGCTTTATAAATACCCCCAACCCGCCGTGGTCGACCACGTCGTCGTCTGCGCCCCGGGCGAGGCCGATCGCGCCGTGGATGTGGAGCAAAAAATCAAAGTCATCACCCGCGAGGTGCGGGTGCCGGAGCCGGGGGATAAATTCTCCTCCCGGCATGGCCAAAAAGGCGTGGTCGGGCTCATCGCCGATGGCGTGGATATGCCGTTCAACGAGCGTGGAATGAGCCCGGATATGATCATGAACCCCCATGGCTTTCCCAGTCGAATGACGGTCGGGAAGTTGTTGGAGCTCGTCTGCGCGAAGGCCGCCGCGATCTCCGGGCGGATCGGCGACGGCACCGCCTTCGCCGGGGATCCCGCGGCGGAGATCGGGCGACTTCTCGTTTCCCACGGCTGTAATTATCACGGGAAGGATCTTTTTTACTCCGGGATCACGGGAGAGGCGATGCAGGGCTTTGTCTTCTTCGGTCCGATTTATTATCAGCGGTTAAAACACATGGTAACGGATAAGATGCACGCCCGGGCGACGGGGCCTCGCTCGATGCTCACCCGGCAACCGACGGAAGGGCGCTCGCGAAGTGGCGGTCTTCGCGTGGGGGAGATGGAGCGGGATTGTATGGTGGGGTATGGCGTCGCCAACCTGCTGAATGAACGGCTGCTGCTCAGCTCCGATCTTTTCACGGCGGATGTTTGTCAGCAGTGTGGGAATTTAGGATATCAGGGGATATGCCCCTTCTGTCGATGTAAGGACGTCACTTCGAAGGTGAACATGCCGTACGCGTTTAAGCTTCTTATTCAGGAACTACAGGGCATGGGGATTAACATGCGTCTGATTCTGGATAGCTAGGTGGGGGAGAGAGGAAATCGCAACGCACTCAGTCTCCCGTGTTTGGAAGGGTTCTGGAGTAAATAATGATAAAACGGATAATCAGTATTCCCAATGGAAACTTGCCTATTTAATGCGTTCTCCTAATGTTCTCTATACGTGAGCTGTGGTGCCGCCAAGGAATGGGGGGGGGGGGGGATATGCCTTACTAAAAGACACCCTTTTCCGTAAGACCGCTCCCCCACATGCATACGCAGCACATTATTCGGATTTCACCAGGATGCTTTCTTTTTTTCTTCTTTATCATATGCTTTCTTCAAATATGTAAGCTTTGCTTCCTCCTTTTTTTCCCAGAGTATTTGATTTTTAAATATTTTTTTCACACTTTTATCGCTTGTTTCCAGAAGTTGTTTTCCTTTGTCATGTCAAATTCACGGTTTCACCCCTCCATCGACATTTGCCAGGACGCAGGTGCGATCAGCGAGGTGGCGCGCCAAAAAATTATTGATATACTCAATAAAAACAGCCAAATCACCATCGCTCTTTCAGGAGGCTCCACGCCCAAAAAGTTATATCATGACCTCTGCGAGAACCTTCCGATCATCCGAGAGAAAGTAATCTTTCTTCTCGGTGATGAACGTCTTTATCCAGTTGAGAATGAGCAAACCAACTATCAAATGGCCTTTCGTGAGCTGTTGCACAAGTTGCCGTCAGATCACCTGATCCCTGTTGATCCGACGGCGGCGATTGCGACTTCCGAGTGCGAGGTGGAGGGAATAGCCGGCGCCCTCGCTGTCGCCGAAGACTACGAAGCTAAATTACATAAGCGCATTCCCCTCATGAAGTGGGCTAAAGACGGCAGGGAGATTATGACTCCTGTTATTGATATTGTTTTGCTAGGATTCGGATCGGATGGGCATACCGCCTCCATATTTCCAGAATCAGTCGCGAGTAAGGAAACGGAGAGAACGGTGAGTGTGGCCTTCCCAAGCCCGTCGATGAAGCCTAAGGTATGGCGTGTGAGCATCACACCGCATGTCATACAAAACGCCCGCCACGTCCTTGTGCTTGCGACAGGAAAGGATAAAAGTTGGGTAATAAAGGGTATTTTGAATGATGAATGCCCCTCAGGGGCCCCGGTTTCACGATTTTTAAGGGATTGCAAGGGGGACGTTTCATTTGTGCTGGATCGCGAGGCAGCGGCGGATATTCAACCATGAAGAGCCTCTAACCCTTAGCAACCCATGAAAGGGGCGCTAAGGATTCATGTGTTTTGTTGCTTTTCAAATTATTCTATAGAGGGACGTTTGCCTGCACGCGCCAATCACAAGAGAAACAAATCCACAAAATAGCTGATAGGTTTATCTTGTCAGCTTGTGTTGGGAATGCGTTCTTAGGGTTTCAGTCGTATTCCATTCAATGCAGTTGTTGTGGTTTTATCCTATCTAAAATGAAATTCAGGTACATTCTGTGCATTTAGGTATGGAAAAAAAAAGTCGTTTGCCCCCTTGTTTTCAGTAACTCTTTTGAGAGGAAGTATGGAGAAAACTTTCCACACGCACAGTGGATCACCGAGGCCGGTGGATTTTTACCCTACTCGTCTCCTACTTTTTTCAGCAGCCAGATCAGTCTGTTATCGTGGAACTGGTCATCGAGTGAGGAATATACGCCCGCTGACAAGGTTGCGGAATTGAGATGCAGCGCTACCAATCATTTCAACGACATGACTCTTTTATTCTCATGTTATGTTTAACTCCCAACAAATTTATTTTGCAAGCATTGAACCGATACAGCACACGGCTATGGTATTTATCGCTAGTCTTCTTGTCTGTTTTATTGTAATGAATTCCTGATACGAGGACAATATTAAGAATAAATTGCATATTACTTCTGTTTAATCTCTCAACGGTAGCGAAAATGTATTGGCTAAACTCATACACAGGTATTGCTTGCTTATATGCTCTGATCAAAGATGTGATGCTTATCTATTTTTCCCTCCTCCTTTTAGAACGTCTTCAAGTGCTTTAAATCTTTAAATCTATAAAGCCCTATAAGTTGCACTTTTCATCAAAATGTCCACGCATAATATAAATAAAGAAACTTACCTACTCCGGAACACCACCCAAGGTTTAAGTATAATTCTGGAGGAGCCACCAACATCATCTAATTTCCTCATGTATAACCGACTCTGCTCAAAACTGGACCATAATCACTTGATGCAACCTATTAATGAGGCTGAGTTTGATAGCGAAACACAAGCATGTGTGGATCGCAAAGCAAATGGCTTCACATCATTCTACGATCACTATACAACTCAACCCAAAAAAAAGAAGGGCCTTGACATCGGGTGTGAATGCCACCTACCAGGTGAAAGTGATCAGAGTCAAATGGATTTTCTCCAAGTTCCACCACAAAAAAATGTACCGAATGCTAGCATTCCTCCGCATTCGTTAAGCGATCCTGTGGTTCGTCGCTTGGCGACGGGTGCGATGCCACCCTTTTCTTGAATCAATGTAATCTGATACGATTTTAAAATATGCTTGTGTGTATATCCAGAGAAAATCAAAAAACAAGGGTTTTCAAGGTGTTTCCCCGTTATTTTCGTCTTGTTGTGATCTGCTGCTTTCATACCATTTCTGGAAAGGAAGCTTTGTTGAAGCGATATGAATAAATCTTGTCTTGAACATCAAAAATTTCACTTTCTTAACAATTTCATTTTTTTCCTGGTGTATTGTGCTACCAGATATATGACATTCTCAAGTATATATCATGTGTCAGTGCAAGGGTGATTCTTTCTTTCATTACATATGAATACTATTCGTGGAAAATAGAGACTCCTCCATTGATAGAATGATCTTGCTGTGTATAAAATTTCAATCTATCGTTATAACGTATTTAAAAAGAAAAACAGAAGCATTCCTTTCTTTCTTGTAGCTCTCCTATGTTGTGACTGATGTTATCAGAAGCCTAGTCTACAATGGTCTTGGAGGTGTTTGTATCATTGTACTGATTTGCTAAGAAAAATTTTAGCAAAACAATTCACTCCATTACAGCTTTCCAAAATATAACGCTGAAGGGATAGCCTTAGTACAAGATAAAGTATCTGGTTAGTAGCTAAAAAGCAATTAGTCAAAATACAAAGAGAAGACCTGAGGGTGAGCATGCTTAGCATGCAGTCGATGTTAGCTTTTCAACTCAAGTTTTTGTTCGCTAACTGAGAAGTTCATTTTTTTATTTTTTGGGGGAAAAACTCACATGCGCCAAGCGAGACCGCTAATGAAAGTATTTATGAAGGATCAAGTTTAGAGGACATTGTGATTTTCAGGATGCCCAGCATTTCAAAATGATTAGGAATAATATTTTTAACCTATTGCGAATGAAAATTCCATATACAGCGGGGATTCGCAAAATTACAGTTGTATGCGAGTCCCCCGCGCTACGCCATGCGTCGGGTGCCGCTGATTAAGAGGGGGTTAGGAGAGGGAGGGGCGACAGATGTGCTGAGGCCGCCCACTGCTTGGAACACCCCAACACCACACAGCGCAGGGCGGATAATTGAGAATTCAACGCGTGAAAGTAACCAAAAACGCATTTAAGGCGGGATCTCCACACTGGAAGAAGCCAAACGTCAGAAGGAGGCGTCGCGAATGTGCGTTTGTTGCCCCCAAGGGGCAAGAAACGCACGTGTGAGCAAAACACCTGGGGCTTGGTGATCCGACAGAAGTCATCCATCTCATTTTGCCTTTATATCTCTGCTTGTTCGGACTGGAAATAAAAGGCCATCAAAGGGCGGCAGTTGCGTCCAACAGAGTGAGGTTGTGCATTAGATTTGAGGAAAGTGTAGTGGGGATATGATAACACTTTTCTTCACACAAACGGTGCTTGGGAACTTTCAACGGGTTTGGGCTTCTACTGGGGTTCAACGCGGTGCCGTGTGTCTCGCGAGTTATTTTGTAAATCAGCCCAAATGCACCTAGACCGCAAGGCCGCCTCTGAGTTGTTCTTGCCATGGAACATGTCGGTTTTGCCCTCCTCAACTGGGCTGGTAAAGGGAAATAAAGACGGCCCAGGTCTTTGTGACACAAATCTGTTATCTGTCCTCTTGTGGGCCGTCTGACTATTACCCCAACCGCTTTACACCCCGAGACAGAATCATTGATCCCCGCTCAGGCTGGCCTGCACGGATCACTGGGCATGATGGAGAATGAAGTCGTCGGAGAGCATGCCACGACGTGTGGGTCTTCGACTCCTACTGATCGATTGGCATCGGATGATGACTGCAGGCTGATGAGCGGGGTGGATGGTGGCTTGTTTGCACCGATTCATTGAGAAACCATCATGGAAACCGGGGTGTGGGGAACACATCTTTTGTCAGGTTTAAGTATTTTCAGGCTAGGGATGGGGAAAAAGGGGGGAGAGAGCAGCCTTTTCCCCCCACCTTTAGACGACGGGGTGGTGATCGTTGCGGGCAGTTCAGGGGCAGAGTCCGAACACGAGGATGGGTAGTGCCCTGCACTACCGTCTTACGCGAGGACGTCTCTTAATTATGGGATTCGAGTTAGGTATTTCCCCTCCCACTCCCACCCCATCGGAGAGGCACCTCGAAGAGAAAAGGGTCGCAACGTGTGAGGTCGAACAGATGCACGCATTTCGAGCACCCTATGTGAGAGCGCTTTCCAACTTTCCCTGAGATAACGAACCACTTGGATTCTATTGTCTTCATGATTTATGTGTTTGACAATTATACCCTTTCTCACCGACTATGTTGGGGATGTTCGGGGCCCCTTCGCCTCTTTCTCAACCCTGTGTGGTGTACCCCTCCGCTCTTTCTCCTAGTGAGAGAGCCTCTGTTGAGGATCCCTTCGAGAATGGTGGCCGCACGTGACGTCAGACGGGATGAATTTAATGACCAATAGGATTTCAAACGTAGAGTGGGTCTGGAAAATTGTGATTACTGACTAATGTCCAATGTAATTTTCCAGCTTGCCCTGTAACTACCTCTTGTTCCCATCCTCTTTCTCTTCTCTGGGATAAATTCACTTTGGTATGTAGATAATTGATATTGCCTTGGTTTTATCTAGTGCGTTAAAGAACCAATTCTTAGGGAAGAACACAAAACAATCCATAAGAATGAAGCAAATAAGTCTCCACAAGAGAATAATGAAAAAGTGTATCGGTAAGACTTATCCGCCGGAATCGTCTCTCGCTTGGTTTCTATGTTCGTTTTTTGTATTTCTTTGCGTGTTTTACGTCAATGTGTCCTGAACCCCTTTTGCGGCATCGGTGCTTCATCACAATGAAACATCGGATATGTTTGTTCGCTCCACAGAGCCTCGTGTGGTGATTTTCGTTATGAGTGATAGAATTGACGAGACCCTTTGCTATTCCGTTGGCTCGGCCCACCTAAGCGGTCTGCCCGTGGTGGTGGCCGGCTATCGGATGCCGTATCGTGGGTTTCTGTCCAAGTTTGAATTTATGGTAAGGGCCATCGAAAATGCGGGGCTGAGCGAAGAAGATGTAATTATTGTACTAGATTCAGACACAATCTTCACTGGTGTGGGTATTAATCCATTCCTCGATCGTTTCATCGCGGAGTCCCCTGCAACGCCCGGGGAGCTGGACGCGCTGGCCGTGCGGCAGGGCCGTGCGATGGCACCGTTCGTAGCTACTGGGGAGATTGCTTGTTTTGCACCAAACGTGTTTGATAATTTCACAATGTGCAGGCCTGGCTTTAAAGATCTCTATACCAAGGTGAGGAAATATGCCGCGGCACATCCAGAGCATAATATATTGTTGCCTTCTAACCTATCACCACAACACCACCTTAACTCAGGCAGCGTGATTGCCCGTGCGTGGGCATACAAGGAATTCTTGTAGAAGGCTAACAACTTAACAAAAACACAAATACCACCATCAAAGATCAGGAACAAATGGGACTGCGATCAGTCCGTTTATGTAGCGCTTTTTATGAATCTTATAAGATGGGAGGTCGACCAGGACGTCTTCTCGATGCCATTGCATCAGCGGCAGGCAGCACGGTCGCCTTACGGCATGCGAGCAGGTCTCGTTAGGTTGGACTACGACAACACGCTTGCGTTTGCTGGCTTAGCAGCAGTTTTCATCCTATATGCATGAACAGCACTGGGTGCAGTATCTGCCACCATCCGGGTCCGAGCACCCATCCTCGGAGGAAATGACTAATCTCCTGAGTGTAGGTTGGTTTGTGGGAGACCTTTACAGACGAGCGTACGCCGCACATGGTGAGAGGATTTACACGAACCTAGCGGTGCCCAGGTGGGTTGGAGGGAGAAGGGCTTCCGGGACGACCCACATCACCATCACGCCGCCACTTTTTGCGCTCAAACCAAGACCCATAGACGAAGCCAACAACGAGATGCGTCGGACGTTCCCGGTGATTTTCCACACGCCAGGTTTCGAGCCAGGTTTTACGAAAGTGATGCTATTGGAGTTTGGTGCTATCGGTTCGCGATGGTTCGTGCCGATGGCGTGCAGCCCAGAGGCAAGACGTCAGGCCATGCAGTACCTGGCATCTGCGCCTTTGTTTCTGTCGACCAGTAACTCCATCATTCGAGATTCCTACCACGCCAAATGTGGCTTTCCGTTTGCGAAAACTATCAGAAAGGCAAGAAAGCTTTGAGGCTGCCCGACAGTCTGCTTTCCGGGTGAACCCCGAAGAACTGGACGGCGCATCGAAGGGGGATGCCCTAGTGTATGCATGATGGGGAAAGTAAACTGTCTCTGCAGGACGAAAATGGCTGTTTTTTGGCTGGAACTTGTTAAAGAAATATACATGGGAGGGGGGGGGGCGGAAGGCTTCAGGTCATCCTTCCACTGTTTGCGTGCGAAAACGGAATCCCGCACTACGTTGGACGTTATGGTTGTTTTTCTTTTCCGATTCGCCCCATGACCCTTTACCTGGAGTACGTTTCACTGGGGGACCGCATCTATCCTCCCAACCGCAATGGCAAATTGTTTCATGAATAGCATAAAGGTTCACAGTCTCAGAAAATGGTAGTCTGAAACAGAAGTATACATTATTATTGTGCCTTATATAAAGTAAGAATTTCGTTCCTGATTTCATAGTGGTAGCTGCAATGTAACTATTGCTGTTGTGTTCTTTTCTGATATTAAATTCCACTTTGAATCCACTGTAACGATGCTGGCTGCCACATGTATAAATACCTAGACAGGGCACAGTTTCTTTTGTCTGTCTTTTATATTGCGTTAAGTACGAGTAGGATGCCTAGTATCCGTTAGTGGAAAATATGAAGTATTAACCTTATAACGTAGCGTTATGTTCTATCTGAGTATTTTTAATATTTTTACTACTGAATTTTTCATTTTTAATCTTTTTCTCACATACAATACTCATGTCAAAAGAAATACGAATTCTAAGAATTAAAAAATGGCTCCTTGACTACATTAGTAAGTTCGTATTCCATTCTATAACGGATGACAGACAAAAAGGATTCTGTGCTAGTGAGGCATTTCTGATTTATTTGGTTCTTGGGAATTGCCTCTAATGGATGTAAGTTTCTTTCATACCCTACTTTGGTTAATAGTTCAACCTGTAACTGATAACCTGCTCAACAAAAGGGGGAACACAGCTCACATACTGCATTTTGTACTCTCCTTTACTCTTTCCGGTATCCAAACACTTTGCTCCTTTACCAGATTTTTATTTTGAGACAAACTAAACGAGATACTTTTTATTCGTAATTTGAAAATGCTTTCGGACAGATAGAATGTTTGTACTCCATTTATTTTTGAGCCCCTGCAATTTACCGAGGCCTGGACGCAGTAGGGTGGCACCCCCCCCCACATACACACACACTAAGCAACACGCCCACCGGTCTTGTTATGGGTGAATTCTTGTCCGCGTTGGAATTGGAAGGGCAGGTAGCGCGCGCGGAAACCATCCCGAAGGGGCCGAGAATTTGGGTCGCGATGCCTTTTTTTTTTTTGAGGGGGGGGGGAGCATTTGAGATGAAAACATGCCTGGGGGCAACCAGGGCACGCGGTGAGCAAAACGCGCGGGGCCTGCCCCCTAGCCACAAAGCATGGAATCCGTTGAGGGCCCCGTGTGTGAAAACATGGCCCACATGGTCGGGGAAAGCACCAGGGGACTTGGTAATTTGACGGAAGTTATCCATCCCATTTAGCCTTTATATCTCTGCTTGTGCGGACTGGAAATGAAAAGCCAGCAGGGGGCGGCGGCTGTGCCCGGGAGGGGAATAAGATCCCTCCCTTTCCCCCTCCCCCCCCCCCGAGCCGCACGCCAAACGCCGGCAGTCGACCAAAAAAAAGGAAACAGATGGGTGGAGAGGCCAGGAAAAATGTGCAGCGCCGGCAAGTATAGATGGGTGGGGCCCGCGGCGAAGGATAATTATTTTCCCCCTTTCAGCTATAAATTTCAGGGGGGGGGGGGATGGCATGGCGGGCCCACCCGCCCGGCCCCGTCGAGCGTGCCGGCGCTCAGGCCATCCCCAAGCGGATCAATGCTTTGAAGGCTGGGTCGGAGTCGATGTTTCGACCCAACGCGCGCGAACTTCGCACAAATGGAGGTTTGTATGACCGGCAGCGAGCGAAAAGGGTAATACCAAAAACGCAACCCCCACACACACTCAGGGGAAAAAGATGTGCTTTTTTCGCTTCACATTACATCGCGAATAGGTTTGCTTGAAACAAATAATCGCTACCAAAAAGAAGTGTACAGAAACATGAGAAAAGCGAATTACCGTTTTGGGAGTTGGTAGAACGAATACGACCAATTTTTTAAGAGTACGCAAGTGGATAGGGTCCAAGGAAAAGAAAGCTGTATAACATTATAAAAGTTTTATTGGAAGCACAGTTAGTGTAAATATTATCAGCCTTTAAAATAGTCAAAAACAGTAAGCTTGGCCTACTTCATGAATTTTGAAGATATTGCGACAACCACCGAAATCCATCTCCGTACCCATACTTTTGAACGATGCTGCACATGAAAACCTCAAGAGGACGGACATTCGGGTCCGTCACCTTTGTCGTCTTACCGGTTCGCTGGTTGCCAAGCCCGAGTGCGTACGTAAGGGCTTCCTCTGAGCATGCTTGTGGCATATCAATTTTGTTACCAAGAATCAGGAAAGGCGTGTGAGAGAGCTCTTCGGAACGGATTAAATTATCTAGCTCTCTTCGCGCCTCCTCAAAGCGCTCCGGTCTAGCTGCGTCGACGATGAACACGACACCGTCAACCTTGGTAAAGTAGTCTTTCCATAAACGTCGAGCTTCACAGTGACCTCCCATATCAATTGTCTTTAACTTGATACCACCCAACGTCAACTCCTCGACGTTGGGGTGGAATGTAGGTCGGTAGACGTGAACCTGGTCGGTAGCCAGCTTACCCAGCAATGTCGTTTTGCCTGCATTATCGAGTCCGAGGAACAAGATCTTTCCCGTCTTGTTGGACAAGCCAAGAAAAGCCAGCCAGTCCCAAACCCAAGAGAGCCACCCCATTTTTCCTATCGAGGCAATACGAAAGGTTTGTTTGTTTTAGTAAAAGAAAAAACGAATAATTTGCTGCGATACAAAAAGGGGAAACAGTAAAACAACGAAAAGAAAGGAAAAATAGAATGAGATTAGGGGCATGTGAAAAGAATATGATAGCGAGTCCATAACAGGTGTTACTGCCTATTTTTTTTTTCTTAACCGTGGGAAACATAAGAGGAGTACGTGAGGGCGAAAGAAAATAAGAAAAGTCAGTCCACAAATTCAGAAGCGAATAAATTCGTTAGACATTGTGTTCCTCTTCACAGTGGAACATCAGTGCGCACTACAATTCGTTCTCATCATAATACTGTGGAAGACTAGGGAGCGATCCATATCTATAAAGGGAATCTTAAACTTGCCTAAACCTATACGAACTTAAAGTAAAGAGACGATAAGAGGAAAGAGGAGAAAGCGTTGCGACTTTTAGCCATTTGAGGAACCACTTCATCAGAGACGCGGAGCGGCATTAGGGAAAGGGGGGGAGAGGGGAGGTTATCCACCCCACCCCCGCTCGATCCGGTCATTTCACTTAGTTTAGTAGGATCAAAAATAATAACACGAACAAAGTAAGTGGAAACTACACACATGTCATATCACGTCACGCCCCATCACTCCTTGGACTTGCCGAAGCGGCGCACGCGGACCTGGAAGGCGAGCGAGTCCGCGAACATCCGGCCCTTCTTGGTGAGGCACTGCCCGGAGGTCTTCCCGCCGCTCACGAGGCCGAGCTTCGTGAGGGACTTGCAAGCCCAGTGGAGGAGGCCGGTGGCGGCCCGCACCATGTGCTCCGGACGGCTGCCGTAGTTCTTCTTGCTGGAGAAGCGCTTGCTGAGACCGCCGTAGCCGACGCCGGGGCGGAGGTAGATCGCGCGCAGGACGGCCGCACAGCGGATGTAGTACCAGTCCGGGTTCTGCGGGGCGCGCTCGCGGCCGCAGGAGGTCTTCACGAGCTCCGTGCAGGACGGCACGAAGAGGTTGCCCTCCCGCTTGAAGTGGCGGGCAGCCGTCTTGATCCATTGCCACGCGTTGACGTCGCGGATGGTCGCGCCCTTCTGCTTGCCAATCCGGCGGATCTTGGTGGAAGAAATGGCAACCATGGTTGTTGTTGTTTTCCTTGGTGTAGTTATCCTTTAGAAGAACACGGGAGAGGGGAGAAGAATGTACTCAAGAGAACCCATAGAGGGGATACAAAAAGCACTTTGAAGGGCGTTGACTAAGGCACACAGGATGTGACTTCTTTTTTCCGTGAATTTGAATCCTAATGGGAATAATAAACAGAAGCAGGGATCACAAAACATCGAACACTGACGGTCATATCCAACGGTATGCGTCCTAACAGACTAGGACGCTTCCTCGAAAAAAACTCCACGCTTCAACTCCCCTGCACCACTGTTAAAGCGTGTGATAAAGTCGTCTTCGGAGTTGAAAAAGGCCTCAATTGCATCGCGATCATTCTGATCCAGACAGGAGCTGCTCTCCTGGGAAAAACTCCTGGACACGTTGAGTGAGTCATCTCTCTGTGCTGCCAAATCCTCGCACTGCGCTCGTAATTCTGAAAGTTCTAACAGCAATTTCATACGAAGTGCCTCCAATTGAAAGTTCATCATGCGAAGCAACTGAAGTGCCTGAGCACAAGATAATCGCAACTTTTCACCTTCAAAAGTATCCTAGATCATCAAAATAGTGATATGGAAAGGGTACAGGAGTAAAAAAAACAGAGAATTAAATACATGCCGGTCGTAAATAAAGTGAAAAAAAAATGAACCCTTTTGTGGATTGCGTCAGAAATAAGGGATTTTCGTTTTAAGAAATGAATGCAAAATTCGAAGCAGAATGTTCATGTAGGAACACAAAAAGAAGGGAAAAGAAAGAAAATTAATCGACAAAAGTGATAAAATTGTCAGGATAAACTCTCGCGAAAGCTCTGAGTGGATTTTCTGTGCGAAATGCGTTTGTTAGAAATATTTCGTTCCCCATTGGATCCATTACATAAAGCCCTAGCGCACCCTCCAGGGGCTTAATAGAGCATGCCTCGAAATCCTGCAAGGTTCCCCATACACTGCACCAGAGATCACTGCAAAAAGACTCAAGGCGCAGCTGGTCTTCGATGCTGTGCTCAAATGGTTTGCATGTTCTCACATTCAGAGGACAAAATTGTCGAAATAGATGAAATATGATTCGACTTGCTCTCTCTGAAAATGGACCTTCCTGAATTTCTTCAAAATTCACCACGCGGCAGGTGCATCCGCGATCGTTGACTACCTCGACGGACGCGTCGCTATTAAATAGCTCCGCCAGCGCCGTGGAATCCATAAACTTTAAGCGCAACTGCGACGCGTGGTGCGAACATGAGTAAAGCCTAAATTCGGCATCGGAAAGCCAAAATCGCGAGGTGTATCCCTTCCTCGTTTGAACCCCTTCTAGCCGCAGCAACGCCTTCGTTTCCTTCGTTAACGCAAGACCGCGGCAAGACAAAAACGGCGCGTGCGGATCCGCCTCCGCGACGACGTCGCCCCTCGTTAAGCTGACGAAGCGGCAGGTGCGGCCGTGCGTGAGGCAAACCGCGGCCACCTCCGACCCCGAAACGAACGGCCGCACGAGAAGAAACGGATAGGCGCGGAACCCTGTCACGTCGGGTTTCGCACGGCTCGAAAAGCTGCTGAGCTGACGCAGCTGCCGCGCGGTGAGAAACTCACAAGGGTAGTGGGTGAGGTCAGGAGCCGACTTCGCGAGCAACCCCATCAGCCAACTCGGCGCCTCCTCACCAAAGACGTCAACGAGACGCTTCATATCAGCAAAGGGAAGAAAAGAGAGAAGGGGAAAGGGAGGGGGGCAATCCCGCCACCGACTTTTGCAAGCTTGTTCCCCTCACGCTCTGAACCTATATATGCAGGCTACGAATAAGCTACAATCTCTGGGAAATATATACACATATATATATATATATATAGTTAGATAGATAGACAGATAAATGGCTAAATACCTTAAAAAGAAGAAAACGGGAAACAGTTTCCAGGTTGGACTCCCTTTTTCGTCAATCTTAGGAAGTGACGATTTCACCCCCTCTACATAAAAGGAGATAAGCAAAAAAAGGCGGCACCATTTATCTCACGATTTTCATCATTATGCGTATTTGTTTGAACTCTTCAAAGATTATATATGTACAATGGTCCAACATCTGAATCCCCTTTCAACCGCAAATTCGTCATGCCGTAGAAAACAAGTTGAGAAAGGAGAAGAGAAATAAACAAATAGAAAATAAAAATACCCCCTCCTACCCTCTTAAAACACGTGTATTAGTTTTTTGATCTCTGTTATTTTAAGAGAAGAAAAATCTAGGGGTATACAAATGGATTGGCATTGAAATACCAATAATGCATTGTGTGATTTTTTTAAAAGTTTTCCGATCAGCAATATATTATAGGAAGAAATATTTAAAAGGAAGTCGCTCAATATTTAGAACAACGACTCCTCTAATTATTTTGATCGGTATACATGTGTTCCTTAAGTATTTATAAGAAAATATTTAAGCTTTTCGCGTGCATGTCACACTCGAACTCTTAGTTAATAAAATCTTCACACAATACAGGAATTGTATGGTATGATAATTAAATATGTTCTTTATTATTTAGCAGACCGACTGACAGCATTTTTGTCTAAATTATAATCATTAGATTAAATTGACGCACATAATCAAGACCAGCTATATAGCAAACAGAGTATGAGGCGGAAAAAAAGGCCCTCCGAATAGTCTAATTAGGCGCCTATTAAAATCAAATGACACTAAAAAAGGAGCAGGGAAAGACTTAAATTTGAAATATGTTCAAAAATTGATGTGTATATAGAGTTTGTTGAACTGAAAATATATAAGAACAACAAGTGAGAAATCTTTAAGTGAAATGTTTATAATAGAACCAGGGACGACATTTTTCTAAAAGTAATAATAAAGGGAAAGGGGAAGGGAGAAGGAGTGCATCATTTGTGTCCACTTCCACCCCCTTCTGCAAAAAATAGATTAACACCTCTGTTAGAAAAAAACGTGGCTACTGTATATAGAGTGTATCATATATTTGTATCACCTGCTTTATTATGGACCTCAATGCGTACTATTACTCGGATACGATGAAATCGAATCGTTTGAGATAATGTTGATTGGGTTTGTGGTGTAGCCAACCCTCAGACGCTTTCCATAGAGCTCGTAGCCATTCATGGCCTCGATCGCTTTACTTGCACTCTCTGGGTTGCGGAAGTAGACAAATCCGTAACCACGAGTTAGGTTAGTCTGCCTATCGTATATAACACGCGCCCCGTCGAGAGGACCAAAGCGAGAAAAAAGGTTATACAAATGGTCCTTGGTAGCTTCGGGAGCCAAATAGTTCACAATGAGCTGTTTTTGATATCTGTCGTCATCTATCGGGGGAGGTGCAAACTGACCTGCTTTTTGATCAGGGAGTTTCATGTAAGGATCCGGGTATGCCGCCCGTACATCGGCTCGTGAATGGTTATTATAAAACTGTGGGCTGAGATTCGGCGGATAAATCAAATTTCCTTGCATGCAGATATTCAACGGAACCATTTGCTCTCCTTGATAGGGGTAAATGTCCAGCTGAGGGTGGTTTACACACAGTAACTGCTGGGAAAGGTTTGATGGAACAGCTTGAACTGGTTGGTACGGATACGTAGCTTGGGGAAGGTTTATTAGCTGGGGTGATGGTGCATTCATACTAGAATAGAACATTTCTCTGTGGATTTTCTCAACAGTAAACTGGAAGTTTGGTTGGGAAATGGCAAGCGAAGCTAGTGCTTAGAAAGCAAGAAAAGAACCTGGAATATGGGAATAAATGAAGACTTAAAGCTTATATTTATCTTTAGTGAAAGCACGTCGTGAAGTGGTAGGAAGAAATGTTGATGAAGAGAAGTAATGAAATCACATAAGCACAAGCCGTTCATATTTCTTCAATGACTTAATATCAATGTTGGAGAGATTCTTAAAAAAGGAAGAACCTATTCATGCAAGCAGCGTGAATAAATGATAAGCGAAGGGGAATGGCAATAAACAAAAGTAGAAAAAGTATAGCAGTAGCGGTGTATAAGTAAATTGGAAAATAAATAAAAAAGTAATGTTAAGAGTGAAGTATCAATTCGATCAGCGCGTACCGCTTTCAAAGATGCATTTCCGCTCGGATAAAGTTAGAAACTCGTCAAGGAGCTGATTTACTTGGTTTTCACTGACGTAGCAGTTGTAGTTCAGACTTTGTAAAAGGTATCTCTCAAACCGGGCAGATACGCGAAGAATTCTACGCCTTTGGATACCAGGAAGTGGGAGTGAAAATGACAAGAAGTTAAGCGAGACGTGATATTCAAGGTGGCACTTAGAGGCCAAGGAGTACATAATAAACAAAGTATGAATGAGATAACTGGTTGATAAACGGAACATATCATTATTTCCGTTTGTGGATTCGCAAACGCCTACATCACGGAGACTGTAATGGACATAATGCATGAGCTGAAGTCTGTCTATGAGGCAAAAGGCGATAATCCAGGAAAACGTGTCAAAGTCTTCATTAAGATAATAAAAATGAAATATAAGCGCCTCGACACCATTTTTATCATTAAACCCAGAACACCACAGACTGTCTTTGATGGCAAAATTAGAATAGCACAATTGATTCCACTTGTATTGCTCAAGGCCGTCAATCACAAACGAGGGTGCCCCACTCTGAGAAAAACTAAAATAGCTCTGTAACATGCGTTCCCAGAGTAACACAATGCAATAGGGCGGGCTTAGACCTCTCGCTCGCAGAGAGTAGGTCGGGAAAACATATTCTTTGTCCTTTCTCGCAACGGAGGGACTTTCCTGCACAAGCCTCGGCATCCCTTTTTCGGAAAGAGTTGAGGAATCTAAAGTGGTAAAACTAAAACAGGGAACCCGCCGCGCATACTAAAAGCATGAGAGGAAAAAGAAGAACTATGTCATTCAAGCTTTGTTTTGACACCCCGACACAAGTCCTGGGCTACCGTGTTGCATTTTTCCAAGTCAGTTTGTTGTCCATACACCTTTTTGCACCCTACTAAATTCATTTACATGAATGTCAACAAAAATAATCAACTGTACATCGTAGCAAAACCAAGTGTCTAGCAAACATTAGTTGAAAAAGAAAAACGACCACTGAAAAAGAATACAACATGCTACTTCTTTACTCCTGAAGCGTGATTAAGGAGGACCTCGAGTTCTTTTTGGCGCAGGGATAAGGCTACTAACTTCTCTGCCTCAGATTTTGCATCTCTCTTTTCACGATCTCGTTCTGTATCCGCATCAGCCATCTCATTCAACAGAGGGGCCAAACGTTCGTTTTCACTTTCTTCAATCCGTTTTATCTGATACCTCATTTTTTCAATCTCTCGGTTAAGCTTATCGACTCGTTCCTTCTCCTGCTGAATTCGGGCATCCATGCTAGCTTTCTTGGTCTTATAAGTAGACATTTCCGTTGTCAACTCATCCCCTGTGCGCTGGAACACAGCCTCCTCAGCCTCGCACGCGACGCGAGATCGTTCCGAATTTTTCTCTAGTTCTAGAACACTTCGCTTCATTTTTTCCGATATAACGCGGGCTTCTTCAGTCCTCCTCAGAAGTTGCTCCGTTCTGTCCTTGATGATCCTCTTTTCCATATCGATTTTCTCTTGAGTTTGAAAAAGCTCCATCTGTTTAGGCTCCAAAACCTCAATTTCGTCCCTTAGCTTTGGAATAATCAACTGTTTGTTGTTTTGCGCATTCCTTTCAAGACAGGACTTTATATTCATGAAGCACTTGTATGAAAAGTCGTTGTAGGTAGCGTCCAGGCGGTCGACGGACGAACGGCCACGGAGGCTTTGATAAAGGAGGTTGCCCGTCACAGTGGACATGGTATTCCGCTTTAAATCAAGCTCACGGAGTGTATTGTTAGAGACCAAGGCAGCCGCAAGTGCTTTTCCGCCCTCATCGCCAATCATGTTAGAAGCAAGATTCAAAGAAACCAGGGCCTTGTTCACGGCCAAACCACGCGACACCTCCTTTGCACCCCGGTCCTTGAGTTTGTTTTTACTAAAATTTAAGGACTTCAGCGTGGTGTTCACAAATAGGGCATTTCCAAAGCGCACTCCAACGTTCTCCCGGATCTTGCAATTGCTCATGTCAAGCGTGTTAACGCACTTGTTCTCCATAAGGCCCTCTGCGATGAAGTTTGCCGACTCGCCAAACTCGTTGGATGATAAAATGAGCGACTGGAGGTTAGTAGCGTTGGGAAGTATCTTACCAATAGCCTTCGCTGAATGCTCCCCAAGGCTGTTGTTCTTGAGGTCTAGGTACTTCAATAAACTTTCTCCATTCCGCATGGCCGAATGAATGGCTTGGATGATAAGGTGACCGCCAACATCCGTCAAGGCATTTCGTTCAAGAGAAAGGTGAACGAGACGACAACATTCCAAAATCTTAGCAAGGATTCGCGCACCATCACGGCCTAGATTGTTGCTACTAAGATTCAGATGAGTTAGGGTGTTGTTTTCGATCAAACTAGAGGCAAGAAACGAAAGACCACTCGGCCCAAGGCCATTGCTGCCCAAGTCAAGCTTTGAGAGCACTTGGTTGACCTTAAGAAGCTTGCCAAGTGCCTCTGCACCTTGACTTCCAATGTGATTTGCGTTCACTCCGGATCTAGCTCCCAGGTCCAGGGAGACAACAGTTTTGTTATCTTCCAGAGCACTTGCAATGGCGGAGGCACCTTTGTGGCTGATGTCGTTAGAGCTCAGCCCAACGTGCACAAGGGTTCGGTTTACCCGCAAAAGCTCCCCGATGGACTGAGCGCCTTCATCCCGCAAGTAGTTATCGCTCAAATCTAAAACACTGTACGTCTTGTTGTTTGAAAGAATACATTTGATGACCTCAGCGCTTGCTGGTCCCAGACCAGTCTCAGGAAGACAGAAGAAATTGCCTTTGCAGTTGCAGCTAAGAAATTCCATGAATCGCACTTCCCTCTCCCACGACGGGATCAAGCCTCGATCGATGCACTTGGACCGATAGAGGAGTGAGAGATGCTCGCTGGTGATACTAACTAGGTTTCGCTTTGATTGTTTAAACGCTCCATCAGAATAGAGATCTTCAAAGGACACAAAGTTAGCGATGTAATGCAATCCTTTCGGAAGTAGCGTGGGCAACTCCGTAGCCAAGGTTGTCTGATCTCTCAAAAGAGTTCTGCCTTTGGAAGCTTTGTAGTTGTAAAACGATCGATAATCGGATTTATCCACGAAAGTTGGATTAGATGGTAATAGCTGTCCCCCTTCCGCAGTGGCGGCTATGGAAGGGAAATGCAAAAACGACGAAGGTTCTGTTGAGCTTTCCATCTTGCTTGCTACTCTTCAATATTCAAGAAGTGTATATATTTGGGACATTGAAAAGCATATTTACAAAGCTCATGCACGAAAAAAAAATGATATAACAGTCATATTTTCAGTTAATGCGTCCGTTACCGATATTCCCATGTGTTAGAATAAATACGGAAGTACGCTTTCTAGTTTTACCGGAAATTAAAAAAATATCGTAGAATTATCGATCAACTTTTTCCCTGATTTACACTTGATTTCAATACCAGTTTTTATTTATTTTGAAGGACAGAAAAAACGTTTAGATTATAACTATAAATAATAAAAAACTACTTCCCTAATGCTTCATTGGACATTTTCGCATGCTCAAAACAACAAGATCATCGAATTTGTGTGCAATGGGATTTTTCGCGATCCATGTGTTACCCGGCGATTTTTCCGACCGGATGGTCCTCCCCTCGCTCGGGTTCTTTTCGACCACCACATCCAGTGGGACAGACTCAATTTCCGCAATCGAGGGATCCACGATATACGCAGCCGTCAAGACATCCCACGCGTAATAGCCATCCTCCGGGCGTATAAGCCCCACATGCAAGCAGCCACTCCACGCCGAGCCAACAAATTGAGAGAGGACGTACTCATTCTGCGCGCCATACCGCTGAATCATCTTCGGCACGATGGGCACATAGTTGGTCGAATCCAGTGAGAAGAGAATGCTGCGCAGGTCTGGGTTCGTCAGGACGACCCGGGCCGCGGGTGGGTCCCAGAAGATGTTCCACTCCGCCGTCCCGTCCGTCCTCCCTTCGATGAAGACGTTCCCTTTCACGTCGACCGCGCCGCCCATCACGACGCAGGCCTCCACCTTGTCACAGAACGCCCGACCGTACCGCGTGACGCACCACGCCACGTTTGAAAGAGGCCCTGTGACACAAATGGTGACCTTCTCCGGTGAGTTCATCACGAGGTCGGCGAGGAGCTGCTCCCCGACAAGGCCCTCGCGCTTCGGCCGCTCCTTCGCCCACAATTCCAGAACAGAAGGGTGGTTGATGGAGGGGAGGCAGTTCATGTCGGACGCGGTACAACGCCACTCCCAGGGGAACGGGTTCACCCCTTTGAAGGAGCTACGGCCGATGGGAAAGAGCTCCATGGACTCCTGCAAGTGCATGAGGCACATCAGTTTGCCGGAGGTGTCGAAGGCGTAATCGATGAGACAGTCCGCATCCGTCACGATCGCACCAATCACTTTGATGCGTTCCGGGTTTGCCAGGAGTAGCGCGAGTGCCACCAAGTCGTCGACACCTCCATCGTGGTCCAGAATAACCGTTTTGCGTTGCGACATGATGCCCTTCACAAAACAAATGTTTACTTTTTGTGGTTAGGATAATGACCTTTAATGTATAAAAAAGCAAGATACTTTAATCAATTATTTCACCTTTTTCGATAAAATACTTAAGAAGAGATGGGGTAGATGACCGAAACAGAAGAATTCATACGCCTCTCTTTCAGGAAATTTGACAAGGTATAAGTTATCGAAGCTCTATTGCTTTAGCTGTCCTTCTCCATTGTCAGCTTGTTTACCTGCATTGCCCTCTCTCAATATGATGACACGCCTCGGTAAGGCATAAATTCAATCGCCACGTCTTGCGGAACGTACTCGCTCAATAAGTTGTGATAGCGCTCTGGGGTGATGTCGCGCTTAAACTCGGTGACGTGATCCGCCCAAAGATGGTAGCGCCCGATCTCATACCACATCAACCCCGTGAAAAGTGCTAGCAATCCCTTGTTCATCCGCGGGGATCCACTGCGAATCAGGAGACGGCCCACACAGCCGATCGTCCCCAGCGCAGAAGCAAAGAAGCCACATTGATGTCCCACTAGGCCATTGTTCACTTTGTGTGCCTTGACTGAGTTAAAATAAAACGCAGCTAGAAGAAATAGCCCAAACCACCATTTTTCTTTATTGCGAGTCTTCATGGTCAAGCAACCTAACGAACAAGCACCAAAACACAATGATGCAACTGTTAGTCCACTATCGGGAACAACAGCTGAGGGTTGGAAAATACAGACAGACCCTAAAAGAGGCTCATAGCTCCCAGAGAAGTGATACCCACGTTTGGCGACGTCTTCATCCTGAATATTAGCGTAGAGTAGCTTCCTTAAAGCAAAGGACCCGCTCATTCTTGGTGCAGTCTTTTCGTTTTAAAAGTTTCACTCAAAATGAAAAAGACGAAATGAATTAAAAAGGCAAATGGCACTCGAGATCACAAATTATCGATTCCACTCGCGCACACAGAGTTTTAAATGTTGAATAACAGTGTTATCACCAAAACTGAAGCAACTAAACTCGCTTTCGCTTAAAAGCGCGGAAAAAAACGCTCAAGCCTCTTTTTAAGTTGAAAAATTGCAACTACAACATCTTCAGTATTTGTCCAATAAATATAAGAAAGTTAATACTGTTGTGCTAGTTGTTGTTTTTAAAATATATAGGATGTTTCCATGCTTGCAAATCCGATGCGCCTATTATGGTTGCCTTTTGAAACAAAAAAATAAATCATGTTTCCTTTTCTTTATCTAAGAAAAAAAAGATTCGCGATACACCACATTTCATTTAGGATTAAGAAACCCCTTTGTAGTTTGATATGCAACCATCATTAATGCGCCAGAAGGTGCAGTATAGAGTATTCTAGGTAAAACACCGGCAAACACGCCGCGTACTCCTCGCGTGGCAAGGAGATCTTTTAAAACTGGGAAAAAGCCACTGCCCCTCCCAAGCTGGAGGTGGGTTTTGATCGTGTCCATTGGGAAGGAGACTACAGCAGCTCCAGCTCCTGCTAGAAACCCAGCGGCCAAATAATCAAGTGTAATGTTGTCCTCATCCGATCTTACGGAATCGTTGTGAAAAATCGAAAAGAAGGCCTCGTATACCAACCAATAAGTCGCGCTGTGAGGAACGTTCATCAGAACAGTTGTTGGTAAGGACACGTACATCGCATGCAACCCCTCACGCTGTAGAATATATTTCCCACATCTAAAAGACGTCTTATACACACACGACCTGTCCATCTGCATGCGCTGCTTAACCACGTCAAAAGGCGTCGAGACAGCATCGTGGGCGATGGTAGCTATGCTCGCGGATGCTGCAATCCCCACGTTTGAATCCCCCGTAATGCGCCTGAAGGCCTCGTACGCGCCAAAGTATGCAGCATGCGCCGGCAACGCCGAACAAAGAATCGGCATGCAGCCGCGGTACATATGCCGTATCTTCTCGCCCTTCCACATACGATGAAAAGTATCTCTAATTCCCTTTGTAGTGCCCGACTGTACACGCGTTTTTACGGTGTCGAATGGAAACATAATGACGTGTTCCGCGAATCCAGCGACGGCACCTGCAATGAGCTCTCCCAAAGAAAAATAAAATGTGTTCGCCTCTCGCTCATCTGCTACCGCAGAGTAAATAGGTAAGTTTCTCTCCATATGTATCATATATGCAATTATCCTACGACAGGAAATGAATCCAAAATGAGAAGAAAAAATAGTGGAGAGAGATAAAAACTTAAGTCCACTAGCCAGCTTTCTCTGGTATTAATTACAAACCAAGATCTGAATCACAGGGTATATACACCCATCTATCGAACCATTTATAGCTTTGTCTGCATGACGTTGAGCAAAGTTTTGGGATAACTTATGAAGGCTGGGCCGCCACTCGCGCGACGATTCCCATTTCCGCTAAAAGGGTCACCAGCTTCCGTGAGTGAATGAAGCCCGAAACCCGAGAACCGTTGCGCGTGTTCGAGGTTAGATGCAGCCCCACCACGTGATCCCCGAACGTATCCACCACGGGCGCGCCGCTCGATCCTGTCGTGCTCACCGTTCCGCGCGCGATGCAATTCGAAGCGTCGCTGTCGACGACAACGCCAGGCGAAATCACCGGCTCGTGGGGTGGTTTTAAAGAAAGCCACACCGTTGCTACTCGTGAATTCGGCGGCGGCAAAAATCCGCGAAGTTGGGTGAAATGCACCACCTTACTGCAAAGCCATAACACAAGAATATCATGTGTACTATTTTTGGCGCCATACTCCACATAAATCCAAGTATTGGGCTTCACCAAGATGCTAAAGTCACCCACATCGTCCTTCATGGCGTTGTAGTGATGCCCTGCAGAGATCACGATGTTGTCTGAGATCGCAACGCAGCTCCCCAGAAAGGAATTCTTCCAATACAATGCGTATATGCATTTTAGAAGCACTTCAGAGGGCCTAGAGTTCTGGAATGGATCATGAACTCCATGTTGTCTCATCTGCGTAGCAGATCTAAACAAATCCCAAGGATACTATTAAAAATAAATAGATCCACGGAAATTATCATCGATAACAGTAATAGGAAGAAAAAAATAGAATTTTCACGGATAAAGGAGAGACCAGAATGCTTGACGAATCATTTGTAGACGATTAATAGAGCACTCCCCGTGAAAATAACACTCATTCCCTTTTTTTTTAATTGGTAATAAAAATTGATGGGAATGTGACAAATACGAAAAAAAAGGGGGAAAAAATCAATTTCACTCTCACGAAACATCAGCAAAAGCAAGTAATTTCATAAAAATAAATAAATATGCCCGCATATACTTTACATCAAAGTCAACTGACTTTCCGACCTTGTTGCCTTTTTTCCCCTATACACGAACCTCGTCCCATCACCATTTGTTCCTTCTATCCATTTTGCTGATGCTGTTTTCTTTTGATCATGCGTCGTACGACTATGATGTTAACGCCGCTTGATCTTCGACTCCTTAGCCCATTCCTTCATTACAATCACTATCGAATTGAACTGCTGCGCGATCGCAGGCTCGTCGGCGTGCTGCTGCACACTAGTCTCAAGCATTTTTATGACATCAAAGAATGCGTCACTGCTCTCCTCGTTCGCGAAGACTTGCTGGAAAACGCCAATGCAAGCTCCTTTTTTGCCCTCGATGTACTCCGGATCGCTATCCAGCCTTTCAAGCACGTCAAAGGCCTTGGCGGCATAGTAAAACGCACTCGTTTTGTAGCAGTCGTTAGCCATGAGGCGCAAAATGCCAATCGATTCACTCGTCTCCATCTTCAAGTAAATATCCCACGCCTTTTTGGCGTGCTTATTCATGATATGCGAGCGAACCAGCCAGCTTGTGTAGCTGAACTCGGACTTGATTTTTTCGGATTTCACCGCGATGAGAGATTCCTCGGCCTCCTCGAAGTTCCCCACGTCCGCGCAGGCAATCCCGTACAAGTAAAAAAAGGTGTCATCCTTTAGAAAGTACGGTTTAATGGAGCGAAGGTAAATAAGCACATTACTGAAATCACGAATCAGGAAAAAGTATGAAGCCATGCATTGACGACCGGGGATCGTATCGCACTCACTCTGCGCCGATCCGACAAAGTGAAAGCACTCTTTGCCGATTTTGAGATGCTCCTGCGACTCGAGTTGCTGCCCAACGTAGGAGTTCACTACGGCCTTTAGAATATACTCCTGCGAGGTCATCGGAGTCATATCTTTGATCAGATCATACGCTTCGGTGATTTGATCCTGATGGAGGTAGTAAATCACCAAGTTCAGACGGGCTTCGGGGATACCCGCTTCCAAAAGGGGTGGAAGAACTTGAAGGGCGCTCTCACCGTCGCGGAAAACCACCAAGTTGTGTTTAATAATATCAGACTCCACATTGTACATGGAATGATACAAATCAATGAGCGTCTTCAGCTCCGACTCCGCGGACTTCCCGTTGAACAGTCGATAGTGATTGCAGGCTTTCAAATTAATAGCAATGGCACTATTCGGGTAGGACTTGAGGTAGTTCTGTAATATTTCAAGACTCACCTCGTAGTAGTCATTCTTGTAGTAGCACATAGCCATGTAAACGTTTAGGGCGATGTACTCCGGACTCTGTTGCAGGATGCGCTTGCAGATGTCAATAGCTTGCTGATAATGGTTGCGATTGTATTGAGCGGCGGCGAGGGAGAGTTGATCCTCGACGGTGCTCTTCAGATGATTGTGATACGACATCAGCTTCGCCTCGTCGTGGGTTTTTTGCGCGATGTGGAATAGCAGGCGATTTCGGAGAGGGCACTCCGTTCCGCGCAGCGCATTCTCCTCCGCCTCATCGTACATGGATAGCATGAAGTAGCAACACCCGAGGTAAACATAATTGATCGGATCGCTTCCCTCCAACGTCAGAATTTCTTTGTACACCTCAACCGCCTTCTCGACATCGTTCATGTGAAATGCACAATACGCCAACCAGGCATTTATGTCAAGATTGCCCAGCTTCTGCCCTGAACTCTTGAAGAACTCAAGAATGGTTGTTGCCTTGGAAAAGTCTCGTCGCTGCAGGGCCTCCTCGAACTGATCAATTGGGGAATGACGCCGTGGAACATTCTTCACTGTAGATTGTTGGTTCTTTCGAACCACACGGCCGGCTATTGAAAACATTACCCTCGCGTCTCTCTCTCTCCGTTTTTAGGTAAGCCGGAATGCGCCTCTCTTTACTGTATCTACCCCTTTTATTTCTAAATGGTAAAGGAACACCGAAGAGATGCCAGAAAACTAAAACTGGAAACAAAAAGATAAATGAAGAAGATGAAAGGGTCTGAACGTATTCAGTAGGATAAAAATAAAGTCAGAAAAACAGTCGGCATTGTTTTTTTTTCGCGAGGGGGGGGGGGGGCTGTACTCCACTTTCTCCCCTTCCCAATTCTTGCTGTTACTTGCGCTCTGAGCTTGATAAACACGCCCTTTGAAGAGAATGGCAACAGTGACAGCAAATAGTAATTATATATATATATATAGTTACTTATCAGACTTCACTTCTCATGTTTAAAGCATCTCGTATTCGATTTTCTGAATATTTATTCATTCGACCTATGCACACACACATAACGAAAGGAATAAACAAAAGACCACAATACCTCCCGATGAGCTCATGATCCAAGAGCCGCCGCATATTCATCCGGGCTCGAGTCAACTCCATCCGACTCCTGATGCGCTTCCTAAGTACTCTAAATAAATGCATTTGGGGGTTGAAGTTTGCTTGTCTGTTATTTCTACTTTTGGTGGAAATCTATGTCTTTGATAAATGTGCTGTACCCTGCTAAAAACATACACACGAGCAATCAATAAAAAACAGAATAAATTACTCAGTTTGGTGATGAGTAAACGCATATTTGAGCTTTTAGATCCGCGGCTCTTTAAAACCCCACGCAAATGAAAATAGTAAGGGCTTGTTACTAGCTAAGCATGTCTTTTTTAAACCCTTCCCCGCTCACGTACAGAGGATCTTAGGTGGGAGTGGGATGTAGCGGTGTGAAATGGCGAATATATTAATCTGCTTCTTGTTGTATCTAATGCAAGTATCCAATACTCTACGCATAGATCCAACCAAATGGATAAACAAACAAATATATAGATAGATAGATATCGAAAGTCATCATCTGAAGAGGAAATTGACTCATCTGGGGTCCAAAATTTTCAAATGCACGCACCGCTCCGGTCCATCCTCCGCATAGGTCTCCACCCCGATACACATCGCTTTAAATGTGTTGAGCTGGGTAAGAATCGTCGCCCCTTCTAAAGGGGCGTAGCGGGGATTCTGTAGCGGCAGCTGAACCGGCTCGTCGAGCACGAGCGACCCCGCAAGCGCGCCCGCGAGGGCGTCGTGCACGCCAGACACTGCCGCCCCCCCACCGAACCCCGTCCAGTGCGGGGAGCCCGGGTACTCGATATTAAAACGCTGATACGCGTGCTGAAAACTATCCGGGACGCTGACGGTGCTGGAGTAGAGCAGGCGGCACGCCCCTTTGGTGAGCGGGCAGGGCGCCCGCACCCCATTCCCATCCGGAAGCCGCATCTCGCGGGCAAACGAGCGGGTCTCCTCCTTTCGGCCTCCCCCGGCTTCGCCGGATCCGTCCTGGTCGAGGAAGACGGCCCCGACGGAGCGGTGGCGTTGCGCGAGGGCGGGGAGGGGAACCCCCTGTCGGATGGGGGTCACCCGCACCGCGGTGAAACCGACGTCGACGACGACGCCGGAAACCCCCCCGGCGGCGACGAGGGCCCCCACAGGGCCGTACCCCACCCCCACCTTCTTCGCCCCCATCAGCTCAAACCCGGCGGCGAGGAGGAGCTCGCGATCCCGTCGTGGAAGGAGGGGCTGGACGAGCAGGAAGAGCGTAAGCGCGTCGTCGGGGTCGAGAACGTCCGAGAGGACCGCCGGGAGGGCCTTCGTCCAGTCCAACAGGCCGACCTCCTCGTCCTTCGCGGGGAACGAGGGGGGGAGGTCGCGAAAAACCCCCCTCCCCCCCTTCCCCGCCCCTTCCCCGTCCCCTCCTCCACGGCGAGGACGACGGGAGAGGGCGGTGTACTTCACGGCCTGCCGCCCGCAATCCACGATGACGATGGACTCCATAGGGGGGACGGACGCGCGCGGGATGGCGGGCTCGACGTTTGGTTTAGTTACGCGACCCTAATCACTCCTTTGATTGATTGATTTTTTGACGAGGAGGGGAAATGGTTCCGGGGTAAAGAAAAAGAAAAGGAAAAATAGAGGGAAAAAAAAAAAGATAACCGTGCGCTTGAAATTAGGGGGCATCGCATGTCGGACACTCGCTTGCCCTTCTCCCCCTCCCTCTGAGGGTAGTGTGTAGTCACACTTCTCAAGGTTGGTAGAGGATCTATTCTGATCATTTATAAGAAATGAACCTTTTTACTCAATCATTGAAAATCTTACGGAAACACACCATGTGAACAAAAACCTTCGTGCGTATGATTTTCATGGGAATAGCAACTTAACAAATCTTTTACTTGTGTTTTTCTACCGAAAGATGCGTAAGTCAAGCCTACGCCGTCTCAGCAATTTTCCGAAACCCATCGATGATATACATCACTCGTATAATGTAATCACGCGTACTTGGTGCACGCTTCTCTCTGAGAAAGTATCGATCTACCACACTCACCGCATCTTGCATGAGCGCCCGATACTGCTGAAAAGAAACGGGATCGGGATTCCCCTCACCAGACGGCGGTGCCGGTGCTAGGGTAATTTGTGGGACCTCAACAGTCTCGTTGAAATCCGCACAATGGATGGCGGTGCTGGCTTTACTATCTGTTTCTGCTGTCCCCTCCGATGCGAGCTTCCCATCCTCCGATTTCTCGGAAGATTTCGCCGGGGTTTCAACCACCGTAGGCGCATCTTCCGGGTAGAGGAGCTCGCTATCCCAATCCATCTTCGGCGTCGTCCAGGGAAAATGGTATCCAGCGGGGTAGGTCTTGGCAACGAATGCAGGATATTCCTCCGAAGACTTCTCGCACTTATTGATCAGTATTGGTGCGCCCTTCGTCATGAAGAGGTTAATAATCGTGTGTGGGATGGAACCGCAAGGATCCGAATGGGTGACGTAGATCACCTCCGTTCCTGTTCCGCCATTGTATGGGCGAATATAATAGCCCGACAAAATCGATTTCGCGCGAACAAACCCTGACTTTTCAGGACATCTACTATGTGGTACAGAATGGTTAAAAATAATATATTCGCCGTTTGTGAATTCCATCCAGGAGCGCATGTTGCAGAAATCACGATTCTTCAACGGCCAGGGGAACTTCGCCGCGTAGTACCCAATGTCGTTGTGAGCGTTGAGTTTGACGATGTTGTAGCCCTCCAGCATGTTTGAATCCCAAACAGCCCGGTAACTAGAATCGTGTAGCTGATTATACAGCACCTCAGGAGGAACTCGCTCCATAACAGCCTTCGCCCGTATAATGTTTAGCTTGCTTGAGCTATCCCCTGACGCCCTTGATTGCACAAGTATCTTTCCAGAAAGATGCGTGGTCCATGACGGAACGCTAGAGAGAGCCAAATCACGAAAATCGCGAAAGTCAACCAGTGTCATTACCCTGAATGACTCGTCAGCATCTTGAACAAATACATCCTTACTATTTTGCATTATGTTCTGATTACAAAAGAGTGGGTAGAAGACAAGAAATAAATAATATCACACCAAATACAAAAAAAGGAAAAGGGTACCAGGAATACTAGGATATAAAAGGAATCTGCGATCAAAATATTGGTCAACCCCTTCGAATAACAGATAGGGTAAAGAAAGCAGATCATACAATTAGAAAATGTGAATTTATATACCAATATGGAAGTATGCAATTGTTATATGTATACATTCGCCGGTCTAACACACACTCAAAGGAAAGAAAAGAAGAATGGTGATAGTCCTACCTTTCCATCCATACATCGAGAGCCTTTTGGAACTCCATTCGCATTATCACATTCAGTTCGATTCATATTCATGTGCGTTTCGAGTCTTCCACCAGTTAAATAAATACTTCAATACATCGCTACTGTTGAATAATCACGGACGAATAAAGATCTCCACTCTCCCCATTAACTATGCCCGCACAAAAAAACCACCCAAGGAACAAACGAGTTTAAGCGATGTTGCGTCGATGATAAACCGAAGAGCTTTGGATAATGAAAAGTCGAATACCTCATGAAGTTGATGCATCTGAGCGTGTAAACCGACTTGGTCTTGATTCCCACGGTGGGAGAGCATAGCGGGCTGCAATCGCGCCACTTGGACAAGGGAGTAGTCGTTTCATTCTATACATGATATGGCTATATGATTTACAGTTGTACGCTACAACGTTCGGAATTGATGAGCGCATAGTTTCGAAGAGGGTTGAAACGATTAGAGAGTAAAAAAGGATAGACGCAAATTAAACCTGCGGCTGTAATTCAGGGAAATTCAAAATAGTGGAAAGCATTGAAATGTCCGCAAGCAGGAAAGGCATCGATCTCATAAAAAATTCGCTAGAGGGCATCCTTAACTGGATCCCTTGCGCTTGTACGTTTTTACAGCGTAATGAGACTTATTGATGTCTATCCCATCACTTGGCAGGACCCTTGAAAGGACTCTACGAAAACTATAGTTTGATTGACCCATTTCGTCATTAAGTTCTCCGCACATAGAGGTTTTTACACTACGGCACATGTCCAAACAGACGGTATTCTGAGAAACCCTCTCTTACTCCATACACCTGATTCAAAGACAATATATTACCATTCTCTCATTGAGATTCTAAGATTACAATGTCATTATTAACGGTTTAAAATTACTCTCACAATTGCAAAAGTCGCTTGTAAGGGTAAATGATCTCACACGAGGGATATTATAATACCTTAGAATCACCAATAAACGATTGCAAGCAGTAAAAAATTTATGCAGGATCATAAGTTTAAATTGAGCAGAAGCGGACTCACTTTCTCTTAAGATACAGTGTACGCAAAAACAAAGCAAGCGAACACAATTTTGCACCAATTCATTTCTTATGAGACTAGATACTACGCATCTGTTTGTACATAAGCATGTTTTGGGATAAGATACATGATTTCATTTTTGACCAACATTATTGAGACAAAAAGTATTAATACAGGGGAAAATGCAATATGATAATAAAACAAAGACCAAGGGGAAAAAAGTAAATAAGGTGCAGCCGTTAGATGTTCTCATAACAAAAGAGCGGCAAAAAAAACACTTACCTTGGAAACACTCCGGTAAAAATGTCAACATCCGCAGCGCCCATGATCTGATTCTCTATAAACTTTACATTACAGTTTGGTAGCACATGGACCGACCCTTCAAAGACATTCTCGGTGAAGACCCCTTCCGACCCCTTCGAGACGTACAAACACTGAACGCCGCAGTGCTGCACCCTGTTGGAGCGCACGACAGGGTTGCTATTCTCCGTCACACAGATCCCAAAGTTTCGGATGTACTCCACCGAATTGAGCTCGATCAGACCGGACGCGCGCCGTCGAAAGTAAATCCCACACGCGGAATCCCGGATGCGGTTATTCCGCAACACCACCTTCGCGCCATCGACGTGGATCCCGAAGACGCGGCACTCGTAGACATCGGTGTTCTCCACCTCCCCTGTGGAGCCTCGCATGAAGTACACCCCGATTCCCCCTGTGCTGCAATGACGAACGCGGCTGTTGCGTAGCGTGAGCCCGGCTCCTGCCCCTACGCGAACCCCATCAGGGCCGTCGTAGATGTTGCACTCCTCGATCATCGCGTGGCCTCGGTAAACCTCCACACGGCCGCGAATGTGGAGGTGGCATAACGTGACCCTTCCCTCAATCGTCGGGGCAAGGAGGGTGGCGGGGACGACGTCTTCCTCTTCCTCCGTCGTGGGATCGGCGGGCGGCGGGGGGTTTCGCGCGCTCGCCGCGATTAAAACCACCGTTTGCGTGATGGGACCCGTGGACTCGTGGGTTCCGGGCTGAAGCCAGAAGACGTCGTCGGGCTGCGCAGCCTCGAGGGCATCGCTAAGGCAAGGGAAATCCGCCCCTTCGGCGCTACCCACGACGTATTCACGCGATGTCATGGGTGGAAAGGAATAGCAAAGACACCCAAACCAACCCCTAAAGCGGTTATAGATTGTAAGAAACGAAAAGTACACCAAGCTTTTTTTTCTCAGAGTCAAACGGATATGGAAGAGAGCAAAGATAGTTTTAATTCAGTCAGAATGCATGAAAAAGTGAATAGGGGGTGTTAAAGGGAGAGGGACAGAAAAAATGTGTCTTCCGTCCCTTACTGGTTGAACTTTGCGGAATGAACCCCAAGAACCAAAGAATGAATTAATGCGAATAATTTTTGAGAGAGGATGAAGGAATAGAAAGTCTTATATGTTCTCCTGAGTCTAGATCAAGTACACTCAGTTGTTTGACGCAATAAGAGTCTCCAAAACCTACATCTACCTCAACAAAAGTCCAGCCTTCAGAATTAAGATCCACCTTAAGGCTTCTTACTGCATCGTTAACAGACGCCAAAGGGACCTGTAAAACGGTAGCACGCACCTTGACCACACCTTCCGATTCACTCCGGTCAAGAAATACCATCTCATAACGCGCGAAAAACTTCGTCGAGAGCAAAGGCAAGGCACAGTCACTGCAGGGTAAGAGTTCCATCTCAATCTGGAGAGTAAGCTCCATCTTCTTCACGCCCATGAGAGACTTTCGTAGCAAAAAGAGCCCCCTCGCGCTAGGTGCTAGCAAAAGCCCGATGCGGTAAGTCCCACGTGCATCAACGAAGCGAAGAACCCCCTGTGCGGCAGACTGTATCGAAACCCCAACTGGTTTGTATCCAACCACTACTCCATTATTTTCATAAAAGACCTGATTGGGTATCGCTTTAACCAAGGGAAAAGGCCGTATGTAGTAGGATGTGTTGGTGCCAGATTGGGTGCGGCCAATGCAAAAATTCGGAACCTTGAACCACGCAGCTAAGTCACCTCGCCGATCCGTTGAAGACGGTTGGGGCCCTTTAGCAACCTTGGGGTCAATAGGAACACGGATTTTGCCGTCAAAAGCGGACACAAAAGACGTAAAACAATGCCCCAGATAAGAGTCAGAAATCAACGCCCCTTTGGAGGCGGCGTTCCCGTGAATTAAAAACCGGATCAGCTCGCGCACTTCTTTTGAAAGTGGGCACGACGCTGATATCTCCGCAAGAACCACATCCAGCTCCGACAGGCAACCATTAGCGAGGCTACTGAGAAAGGCCTGCTTAAGCACCTTTTCGCTGCGCCATACGTCCAGAGGGATTTGGCGAAGTAAGGAGGCCTCGTGAAGCGCCACACGCTCGGACGCCTCTGAGGCCTTGAAAAAGGCAATCCAACCCTCCACATCATCGGGGTTGGATTTCACAAACTTCAAGAGCGGCTCCCAGCGGCCCACCTCAACTAGTCCTCGGATGAAATACTTCCGCTCACGTGACGTCCGAGGAACTTCGTCGTCATCCCCGTACATCCCTGCCAGCGTCTTCAGGCATTCAGGAGGAGCTGGTGCGATCGCGGAAAGCGTTTGGAGCGCACTCTGCCAAAGCGAAGAGGGCGGCATGTTGCATACCATGAAGCACAGCAGCCGGTGAACCTGAGGTGGCATAACGGGCTGCATAACCGAGTACATTGAAAGCGCCTCCTCCCACCGCTTCGCGTTACGCAACGCATACATAGTTTGAAGGCACGCATCGTGCAGGAAGCCATCCCCCTCCTCACTCTTCGGAATATTCGAGGACGCAATTAAATCTATCACCTCAGTGTAGTGATGCCACTTGCCAGAGCGCCGCAGCATTTGGGCAAGTGAGGCAGCCACCATGAGGTTACTTTGGCCGTCTCGCGAGTCATATTCGCGAATGAGATCAAAAAATTCCTTTTGTCTTCCTGCATCGCTCAAAAGGCGAAGTGTGGTGGGAAGCTGCCTACGCCATGTGGAATCCGCAAATGCGAGGGAGGACTCGATCTGAGCAAGCGCACTCCTCCAATTCGTTTCCACATTCCCCGTTAGCACATCCCCACAAGACTCTTGTACTGCTGCCAACTCGGAGGGATCTTTATGAAATAAAATTTTTTTGAGAGCGAAATAGGCCTCTGGTCCACGCCTCTCCGTTAGCCAGCGAAGTGATTTTTTATGCCCCCATGAGGTATCGCCGACAGCAGCTAGCGTTTCCGCGCTGAGCGACGTCCCCGCGTAATCCAACACACGTTGTGCGAAGTCATCCCCTTGCTTTTGAACCTTCAGGAAGATGTCAGCTAACAACACGGATACCCCAAACACACAGATGTTGGGGAAAGCCGCCTCCCTCTTGATACCGCTTTGAAGCAGAATGCGTAATGAATGCGCATCCCCTTCGCTCTCTGCCCGCTTTCCTGCGATGACAAAAAGTGAAGGTGGGCTTCGCTGCGGCTTCCGAGATATCGCAGCCACTACTTCTCCGGTAGTCCGCTGTGAATTCTGAAATATACCCTCTATCCAATTTGGCGTCAGCGAGCGCAACCGTTCTACAAACGACTTCTCGAGTCCATTGACCGACGACCCCCCCATTGAGTGGAAAAAGTGGTAAACCCAGTCATAACTGTAAAGTAAAAACATGATGGAACTCGCAACCAAACGTCTCTCGCTTTTATGGGTGGTCTTCCGCATCACACGCGTGGATTGTCTGAGCAAACGTGTGGAAGTCGTCTGCGCCTTGGGATCAACCTTTTGTCCAAGCTGCATGCCAGCAAGAACGTAAAGACCCAGCAGCTGTAGAGAAGCTTGATACTGCGCCGACGACAAGAGTTCCATCGACGGCCCTTTGGAGACTTGGTCTAGCGTTGAACTCGTCAGCTCCTTGCATTCAAGGTATCTTCTGCAGTAGTACAGTATAAAGGCGGTATATATGGTACTTTGCACAGCTGCTTCGCCACCAAGCTGAGATACCGAGAGAACACGCATGGCTTCCTTCCACAATGTGTCAATAGCCGCCGATCTCCGGTGCGCTGGGTGGATAAGAAACGTATTCAAACACTTCAATGTGTTCAGGCATACAGTACCATCCACGTGGTTTGGATTGGCGTACACTTCATTTTCGAAAACCTCCAGCTGTTCCTTCCATACCGAGTGCGAGGTCAGTGTTGGCTGTTCGATTGGTTTCGTCGTAGCCTCCATTTGAGGATGAGAGAGGGAAATAGGGGTCGGATGACGGCCGAACAATTGAAAAAACTCCGTACTGAAACACCGCGACATTAAAAGCTTCACATGGGTACAAACAAGGACTTTACAAAATCGACGCATTACTACTCGTAGAATCCACAATAACTGAGGGATAAGTAGCCAAGTACCTTATAGGTAAAATACCTTTATTCCACAATACCACATGTACTCCATGAAAAGATAGGAAGAAATAGGAGCATTCACAACGCAGAGATCGACTTGCAACAAAAAGTGAATAGGAAAAATAAAACGTTGACGAAATATACCAGAATCAATAGCACAAATGGACGCATACATCCATACACGACTTTTTGTTCTCAGGTGATTAAATAACGCAACTATCTAAACACGTTAAATTAAGAATAAATAGTTATATAAAGGGTAAGAAAGGATTCCCTCCACTTTAAGGCGTTACTCAATGCTAAAATCCTATTTATATACTTACGAAAGTCCAACAGAGCCACCCAAATAAACGCGTAATACTGGAACGCGACGAATGAAAAGGAAAGACAGATGAAATAAACCTAGAAGACTAAGATCTCTAGAGTGGAGCATAATCCCAAGTATGATAATAATAATAATAATATAATAAGCAATAAACTATAAACAGAATCTTATACACCCTCTACACTATGCTTTCTTGTTCCAAAATATCACAATCGGAATAGTAGCAATCCCTCCTAAATTCTTACCTGAAAAGTGTTTCGTAAGGTGCATAGAAGGGTGTTATTTCACTTTCCTTAGCAGAAAATCACGAACTCATCATTGAGGTAGTAGCCTTTAAGAGTAACTTAGTAGGATACGTGGCGATAAAAATATTAAACACATCGCATATATTATCATGATCTAAATGATTATACACAAATCCAATATGATCAATGAAATATTCTCTAGTCTTCCTGTAATATCTTTGATGGTGATTCAGCATTCGCCTCGGAACGCTCTGGTGCAATACCACGAGATGGCTCCTTCAATGTGTCCTGCTTAGTTAGTGAAGTACTCCTTCTTACTTCTGCAGAATCTAACTCACCATTCGACACGGCAACGTTCTCTGTGTTGGGTGTCGCTGTGGAAACCATGTGCAGCTCCGAGGCCAACGTCCCGGTCGCCGGAACCGTCCCTTTCCCACTTCCACCCCGCACCCCTCGCCCGTTCGACGGGTTGTAGTATTCCCGTGGGATAAAGACGCCCGGGGGGCAAAACGGGGCCCCAGCGGGCAGTACCGTCCCCGGCGCGACGGATAGCATCGTCGTCTCAACCTGCGGGACGGTGGGCCGGGGGGGGGCAACTGACTGCAAGGCCGTGGGGCCAGTTGTCCGCATGGTAGCCGGTGGCCCCGGCGGCGGCCCGGCTGCGCACTGCGGCGTGGCACAAGAGAAGACAGGCATGCCCGAGACATAAGCAGAGGGCTCCGGGAAAGGCGCGGCCGCGGGCTGTCCCAGGTGCGTCGGTGGAGAGGGAAACGAAGCCCCATAGGGCTGCATCTGCGTGTAGAGCATTTGGGACGTCTGGGGGTAGGGCTGCAGGAGCGGGGTGTGGACCTGAGTCGGGCCGACGGGTGGGGCAAACCAGACCTGGGAGCCCGGCAGTGTGGGGCGGATGACCGGGCCGCACGAGGGGCTAATGTACACCGGGTACTGACCGTAGTAGTTGTACGACATCTGGGGGTTCTGGTTCGGCAGCGCGGGCTGGGGCATGACTTGAGGAATCATGTTGTTTTGAAGACCGGGAATGTACTTATTGAGAGCCGGGCCCATGGGAGGGATTACCCCTTTCCTTGCATCGCCACCGGTCACCATGGGGCCCTCGCCGACATCATTTTTTTTACATTCAGTTTCCATTCCCCTGTGTTTCCTCGAGGTATTACTATTGCAGGCTATCACTATTTGAAACCTCAGCGTTTCAACAAAAAAGAAACAGGTTTGGCAGGGAGAAAAGTCTAAACCATTTTTTTGATGTTATGCACAACATAGACACGTGTATGAAACAAAAGCACCAGTATTGAATTCGTTCATCTAATAATGGAGGAAAATTCCACTCTCCACAAATTGGGAAAAAAAGCACTCGGTTTCTCCGATACTCACATAAATAAGTTACTTTAAGAAATGGAAAAAGTGAACGTAATGGGTTTATATGGATGATTTTATTTAACCTTCCCAACATTCCGTTGTAAAATACATGTAGTATGAAAGGGGTAAAAAGGTAAGTAATAAAAATAATGATAACATTGACTCATTGGCATTGTCATTTTTCTTGTTCATTAATAAGCATTTAAAATGATTTTAATGAAAGTTAAACATAACATGAGAATAAAAGAGTCATGTCGTTGAAATGATTGGTAGCGCTGCATCTCAATTCCGCAACCTTGTCAGCGGGCGTATATTCCTCACTCGATGACCAGTTCCACGATAACAGACTGATCTGGCTGCTGAAAAAAGTAGGAGACGAGTAGGGTAAAAATCCACCGGCCTCGGTGATCCACTGTGCGTGTGGAAAGTTTTCTCCATACTTCCTCTCAAAAGAGTTACTGAAAACAAGGGGGCAAACGACTTTTTTTTCCATACCTAAATGCACAGAATGTACCTGAATTTCATTTTAGATAGGATAAAACCACAACAACTGCAGTGAATGGAATACGACTGAAACCCTAAGAACGCATTCCCAACACAAGCTGTAATTTTTTTAAAATGTAACAGTGGAAACTAATATGTTCGCAACCGGGTAAAGGTTCATAATCAGTGATGCACACGACGTAGAGCTGATACTAAGTGGTGCGCTGCCTGCTCAAAATCAGCGTACAGTGCTTCATTCACAAGAGCTGGAGGAGGTGAATCTCGGCTTTTTGCGGGGATCTGAATCGGTCCTTTGGGATGAGGCAAGACATAACGGCTGCGGATCTCGCGCAGGCGTGCTTCTAGCCTTCGTACCCCCCATACTTGATTGTGGATGAAGCCCACGACAGACACAAGTTGCTCGAGCAGACCAGGCACCTGGTGCTCTCCGGCCCCCACTCCTTCGGAAGTCCTAAACATATTCTCTTTGACAGTTTCGTGATGGTCAGTCAAAGACGAATGGGCATCGTATGACGCGCGCGGCCTCTGGGGGGTGTACCCGTGTGCTCGCTCTAGCCTCTCCTTGTCTACCCGAAACCGCACTTTGGGCGTCGCAATTGACGCGGATCCAAACGCATTCACCTTGTGGGACCTCTTGCGACCCTTCGTTAACATATTGGAAGCTTTCTTCTGCGCCTCTGATGGATTCTTCTCTTTTATAAGCGAGTCGATATCAACCGCCTCAGACCCTGCAGAATCCGAGGAAGCTTCCTTGAAAGGGGAACTCGGAAAAGGCTCCGTATCACCACCTTCCTCGCGTTGATAATGCGCATAAAGTTCCTTAAGAGCTATAATAGGAGCCTCCATCTCCGAAATGATGTGTCTCACCACATAAAAGAGCGGGATGACAAAAACGCGCAAAAAGCAAAGCTGAGATTTCGCCAAGGAACTTCCGCGAACACAATATGGGGTTACCGGCAAGCTAAGTTGCTTTTCATCATCCCCTTGTGCGTACATCTCGTCCAGCACGCCTAGCCATTTTCCCGCCACCCCTACTCCCTTTGCAGCCGCCCCGATGTCTGCTGCATGTAGCAAAAGTGTGAGAACCTCGAGGCGATCCTCGGGTTTGGTGAAGCAGAAATCCCTCGCCGCGGCACGCGCCTTCCATCTGGCAAAATCCTCGAAATGTCTACTCATATCGGTGTGCAAAACAAGCGTCGAGACCATGCGATGGAACTCGAGCACCTCCGCATCGCTCATGCACTTTTCGGTAAAGTCCACCGACGGAACCGCTAAAAGGTCAAAGGCGGTGGAAATATGCATTTGCTCTAAAACGCTGATACCGTTGTGGTGAAAATAAAGTTCATCGAATTTTTTTCTTAAAAAATCTGCTCCCCGCGCTGGATGTCGAATATCATGCGTAAGGGTCGCAAAGACCAAGGCAAGCTTCTCCAGCACAGTCATATTCGTGAAAAGTTCGCGCGAAGCCATCACTAAAGAGCACACCCCTTGCGCCACATCGGCGGCATGGACCGAGTTATGGTAAGGGTTTTGGAGGTAGTTCGACTCAACCAATGCACAGAAGGACCCCCAACGCTGCTTCGCCTCCGTCGACTTAAAGAGCCTCCACCGCTCCACGATTTCCTTGCCGATACTTTGCAGGATAGATGGCACCTGCTTGGAAGCGCACATAACGTCATAACCCCAGTCAAACAAATCCAGAGCCTGCGGGGGAAGCGAGGCTGAAAATATCTTGGGAACGGTATAACGCGTTGGGTGAACAATGGTAGGGCGACGCCAGCGCCTGGATGGATCCCGAAAGGAACGTTCATTCAGGGAATTCCCCGCCGGAAGCTCGCCAATAGGGAAATGAGAAGGTGCTTGGTTATCAGGCCCTTGTACATTTACACCGTTCTGCTGATACTCCCCATTCTTTTCAGCATCCCGCATCAAGTCTATGGAGGACCCACCCAAAGCTGCTCTCCCCTCCCCAAGTCGCTGCATTTCCTCTCTGTGAAGGGTTTGTGTCTGGATTTTCATTTCTCCATGAGAGGCCTCCAACTTTTTTGCATCATCAAGATCTTTTCGAAGAGACGCTACAGTCTGTTCAGATATCTCCAATGCCCGCTTTAAATTTTCAGATTCCTTTTCCGAACGGATAAGCTCCGCAAGCCTTTCATACAGAACGGAAATGTGTGATTTCTCATTGTCACTTGCCAGTGGATCGCAACTCTCATCCATTTGGAGTGCGCTCGAAAATTTTTGAACAAAGCCGCCCAGGCAGCTGTTCGCATTTTCAAGTTCGGCAATTCTTGCTTGGTTACTTATCACGGTATTCTGAAGCTCTTGTAGTTCATCTCTCTGCTTGGCGTTAGTAGAACTCAGCTCGTCCACCTCACATTGACGCATAAGCAGTACTTTTTCCAACTCATGAATAGAATTTGTCGGCTCCTCTTCAAGTCTCCCACAACTCGGGCAACTCATTTTAGAGGTGGATAGGGGCAAAATGTTCCGTACTTAAGTTTCGCACTTCACTCTTCTGAATCCAGAGAGATTATGGTACTGGATGCCCCAGGGTATAAGATACCGGTACTCTGCAGTGCGAATCCTTAGTATGTGACAGGTGACTTTGTTTTTGATCACTTTGGATATAGCTTGACTGAGAAATAGCAAGTAATTTTATTACGTTAGACAGCAAAGAACGAACATTCAATATCTCCAGAAGCCCTAACAGTAGTGAAGATAGAAAATAGAGAAAAAAAGGGCGGATAATTTTACTTTCTATTTGCATCAGTGAAGAGGGGAGAATATAATTGGTGGCTTATCGAAATTTTACGACTCAATGTTAGGCATTGTTTTGTGTAATGTTGCGGGCCAAACCTGTTCCGTCAACGAGATAGTAATTCCCGTAGAAGAGTAAAACCACAAGCAGTGATGACGAAGGTAAACGTGGAACGAAACAGTTCCACGCCAAGAGGGTGGGAGGAGAAATAAACTAGTACTTCTGAAAACGTCATCGCAAAGACAAACGACGTATTACGGAAATAAAGAAGCAGAAAAGGGGGAAGGGAAAAAAACTTCATACTTGAACCTACATACTTCACAGCAGCATTGCATCAGCCGATCCCCCAAAAGACAGTCTCTCCCACCACATAAAATATTTCGACCACGGAGGTAGCATCCTCAATAAAAAAATGAGATGTGGCAAACGGTGGAAAGAAAAGGAGGTGAGCCATATCTTGGGTTGAATGAGATGCGCCAAGGGGATTTCCTTCTCAGCTCTCGTTAAGAGCTGCCACGATGGAATCGGGTCCCAGACGAAACAGCAGCCTTTCGGGATGGCTAAGTGTTCCTGAGCACCTTTGCCCTCTGATTCATATCAGGTAGTCTATTCCGTCTTGCACAAGGGCCTATGGCGTGTTTTATTAGACAGACCCTCCGCTGGATTCCCTTGTGGATGAAATTAAACCCCGAAAAAACGGATACGTTCTGTAGATTAAGTAACATGCTTTACAAGGCAAAATCGACGTGTTGGATATCAAAAAAAATAAAAAAGAATCAATCTCATTCCATTACCATTCCACTCTGAGATAATGCCGGTGTTGAATCCAGGTGTGTGATGGCTTTGAAAAGACAGGAAGAGGGGGGCTGCTCCTGTGGTGCGGTAGAATTCTCTCCCAAGTGGGGTGCTTCGCGGCCTCACGCGTTTTCTCAGGATTCCCGACACCTCAACGCGGTTGATCCACGGGAGCGGCGAGGGCAGATCGACGTGCCCGTCATCCGATTGCAGGAGCACCGCCAGCCCTTCGCAGAGGAGGTTTCCGGGCCGTAGAGCTGCTGTGTGAGGCGTCCTCGCTGTGGGTTTTGTGAAGGGTGGGATGGATGGCTCGCGCTCACCCTCCAGTGCTCATGAATAAGCTCCTGGGCAGTGGGCCTCTGCGCTGGGTTCTTGTTCAGCATCTCGCGCACAATCTCCTCCAGACGGAGGGAGAGTCCTGGCTGGAATGGCGCCACGTCGGCGGTGAGAATCTTTTCAAAGAGAGAGAACAGGTTGTGAGCCTCGAAGGGGGGTCGCAATGTGCACATCTCATAGAATACAACACCCAGACTCCACACATCGCTGCGCTCGTTATAAGTGGCGCTTTCACAAACCTCCGGAGCAAAGTTTAGCGGCGTCCCTATCATCCTCCAATCTCCTGCTTCATTATTTTCCAAGAAGGTAGATACACCAAAGTCACCTAATTTGAAGTGATTCTTTCTTGTCACGAAAATATTGCTCGTCTTGATATCGCGGTGAAGAATACCCTTGGAGTGGATGTAGGCTAAGGCACAAAGGAGTTCTGCCATCCATTCGACAAGCAAGTCTTCAGCAAAAGGCCTCCCCTTGCCTCGTCGTCGTTCAATGAGTTGCTCCAAAGTATCACACTCACAGTACTCCATTATTATATTAACAGAACTATCCCCCGTAAAGCTTTCTTTGAACTTGACAACATTGGGGTGGTCGATCTTGTCCATGACGAAAATTTCTTGCTTGATTTGTAATCTATCCTTTTCCGTCATATTCGACAGCGAGATTTGCTTGAGAACATACAGCCGTTTGTTCTTTTTGTTGACTACAAGAAACACATCGCTAGTTGCACCTGAACCAAGGTACCTTATGACATCATACCTTTCAAGCCCCAAGGGACTTCGGTCCAAAAAGTCATGAAAGCTCATAACAATGGCATGCGATGCATCCAAGTTATGCAAACTGAAACATACTGACCCTGTTACTGGACGATTCAGTATACTAGGCTTTAACTGTGCGCCAATGGTGTAGGTTATTGGAACTGCTCTTCCTTTATTTCTTGTTTAATTGTTTTTTTGTTGTTGTTGTTCTGAAAATACAGCAACTGCGAGACAAGGGGTGATAGTTCATTGAAGAGAGACATCGCAGAAAGAGATCAAAAAAAAATGATAAAATGGCAGGTTCGATATTGTGGTAGATGTTATGCGCTATTTATTTAAGGTTAACAAAGGAGGGACTGCAACGAAGAAAAAGGGATCGATACACAGCCACAGCAACAAAAAAGGATTAACCCAAGTCATCGTGTAAGTGGTTTGAAAGAGCTCTGTTGGACAATTATATGCCACCAACTAACCCTCTCTTCTTTTTTTCCAATTCCAATTAGGTCCGTTTCGTCTTAGAATGCATGAGATCACAATAAAGTGCACGCAACTCTTCAGGAATATGCCGACTGAATACTTCCACAACAACCGATATCCCTGCTGCATCGGCCTCAAGAAATATCGCGGAGAGCCTATCGACGACACACCTCATGTTTTCCTTAACCAGGCCTTGGTCCGCACCCACCCGACGCAGCTCTGCAATCTCCTTTAACGCCGCTTTGAAACCATCGTAGCTTGATGTGGAGACTCGTTCCTTCAGAAACGTACAGAATTCTTTGGAGGTGCTTCCTAAAGTGAGAGCCTTGCGTTCGGGTGGTTCCGTGCAGAGATCGGTCACTACGACGAGCTTTTGACGCTCCATTTTAGGAAGCGCGGGAGGCCCGCACCCGGGAGAACCACCGATCCCGCTGCTGATCGGCGGACGAGTGGAGGGAAGATGAGATCCGTTGCGATCCGTTTCCTCCGGAGGTGGGCGCACCCGGCTTGGGTGCTCGTTGGCCTCCTCAAGCCGACGCCGCTGCAAGGCCTGCGTTTCCTCCTGCGTTCGCAATTCCTTCTCGGTGGCGAAGCTCTTCGCGTGATCGGCGGAGCTCGGCACACACGCGGCCGTGGCCGCCACCGATGGGTTCGACACCACCGCAAACGGAATCTCCGGCTTCGCCTGACGCGCGAGGCCGTTCGTGGTGCGTTGGTAGCGGGTAAAAAACTGAGAAACCTCCACGTAGCACTCCCTAAACTCGCGGTAGACCGCCGTGCGCGCGGAAACCCACTCCGACAGGTTCTCCAGCTGCTGCGCGAACCGCTCGTCGGCAAGGACGACGGCACCGTAGTCGTCTTTATGTCGAATTACGCGCCCGATGCACTGATTCACCGCGCGCATCGCCTCATTTCGATACCAAGAATCCCCCGTAAAGGGTTTTCCTCCCACCAGCGGCCGCCGCGGCGCGATCTCCGTGAGGTACTCCCGCTTCAAGCGAACGAAGAGATCGGTGGTGTTCGCGAACGGGATGCCCGTCACCATCACGCAGCGGCCGTGGTGATCCGCGAAATCCACACCTTCGCTGATTTTCCCCCGGCAAACGGCGAGAAAGATGGCGCCCTTGCGAGGCGCCTCATCCACGGCTTTCTGAAACCCACTAACGACCCCAACCAGCTCGGAGGTCTCCGTCGGCTCCACAAAAACCGGCTTCAGCCCTTCCAGGAGGCTCCAAATCGTCCGCGAGGCCCCAAACCGCCCCTCCACGTGCGTCCGCCACAACTCCACGGTCGTGCGCATCGCCGTGTAGCTCGGGAAGAACACGAGGGTCCCACCGGGCGCGTTGCGGCTGAGATTCACCAACGTCATCCCCAGCCCGATCCGATAATCGATACTCGTGCGAAACGCGTAGCTGCCATTCAGAACCCCCCCTGCGGGGGCGCGGCAGAGCACCCCGCTCCAAAGCTGCCCCGGTTGAATCACATGCGGCCCTTGCAGCCGCACCGGGAATGGGATCCCCATCTCCGCCGCGAAGTGCTCCATCGGCGAGAGCGTCCCACTCGTCAAGAGGAGCGCGTGAAACCGCCGGCTCAGATCCAGCAACTCCGCCGCGTTGTCGAGTTTCCAGTAGCCCAACACGCGACGCGACGAGGCCTCGCGCGTCTCGGGTTGAATCACAAACCGCGTCGACTCGCCGTGGTCGGAGGCGAAGATCGTCTCCAAGAAGTGCTGCACCCGTGGCAACCCCGAGGCGGGTTTGTCGCTCTTCGACAGGAGCGTGATCGCGGTGGAGATGGCATCGCTGACGCCCGCGACCCCGGGTTTCCCGCGGAAAGTCTCCTCCGTGATCAACGCCTTCGCGAGAAATTCGACGATCGCGGCCCCAGGTCGAACAAACTCCGAGGCCTCCACCAGAGGCGAAGAAGCAGAAGAAGGCGAGGAAGGTCCCCCTCGTGTGGGGGAGGCGTGAGAAGTGGAACCGACGCCGCCGCCCATCGGCTCCGCCGCGAGGGTGGTCTCGAGTTGGCAGAGCAGAATTTTCAGCGCGGCGAACTCCTGCTCCCGCATCGCCTCGGCCCCGACGTCGACCTCCCCTTCTTCCTTTTCCATCACAATTCGCTGCATCGCGACGGCGCGGGTGCACTCGTGGATCGCGTGCGCTAAATCCGTCGGGGGAAGGTTCAAACACCCCGCGGTGCTCAGCACGGAGGGGAGATTATGCGCCTCATCCACGATCAGAACGGCCCCTTGCGCGTCGAAGGGCAATTGCTTTCGCAAAAGCGGATCCAGAATGTAGTTGTAGGGCATAAACACGATATCCGCGTCCTTGGACTCATCCCGCTCGAGATAATAAGGGCAGAACACACTCCTTTTCCCTTCCACGGCGAGATCCTCCAGGTCGCACACCGCATCCGCCTCGGAGAGAAAGGCTTCGAAATTCTTCGCTTGTAACCCTCTAAAAAAGCGGCAAGCCTTGTTTCCACGAAGATGGTTGCACATGCTCTGCTGCGCCTGGGCGGAGGGCAGGCGGGTGACCTCAGAGTTCACGCACATATGCTCTCGTGAGCCTAACAAAGCCATGCGAATCTCGCGCGCGTATCGGGTGCGCTTTAACTCCCGTATCACCTGCGCGAGCTGTGCGTGAGTTCGGCTGCAGTAGACAATCTTATGTCGTGAAAGACTCTTCGGCAAACCGAGATCCTGCGGGGGTTGAATGCGATTTCGCATGGAACTGACAAATTTAGTTTGCGGTTTTTTCTGTCGGAGTAACCAGGCAAGCGAGGCACATAGCAAGCAGAGGGTTTTGCCTGTTCCGGTCGGGGATTCTAGCAGGGCGTTGGACCCCGCTTGAAGCGCCTTCACCACACTACGCATGTACTCCACTTGAGAGGGGTACCCCTCGAACGGAAATTCGATATCCAAGTCATCGATCTGTATTGTTGTCATCGCTTTACTTGTTGTGTAGCTCGTTTATCCATTCTATGACTCACCCCTTTGGAGCATCTAAAAAAAAAAAAATGTGCAATGCGGTAGCTCTCGACTCGTTAATGTGTATCTTCAGCTATGAAGCCCTTCGCGTCTTGGTAAACCCTGATTTCCTCACAAGCATCCGATAAAAATAATTTGGGGATAGAAAAGAAAGAAACGCAGCTAAATGACAAGAGAGTAGTATCCGTCTGTATATTCATCACTGAAGTTCATTTGACGTCGATTCAAGTTTTTTTTTTGCTTATAGGCCATAATTAAAAGATGCAATTGAATGAATCTAGTCTATGGATGAAACCAGTAGCAATGGAGAAGCTGTAAGAATCAAAGAAAAACAAGCATACTCCGGTCGACTTGTTAGTACAGATAAAAGAAACTATCAAGTGAATAAATGGAGCACCAAAGAGGAATAAAAAGTACTCTCTCACACATCTGCACTGCCTCTTATAATGAGGACTTGGTACAAGGATTTTGCCTCTCTCCATTCATGTTTTCTTTAGGACTTCACCTTTCGTCGCGAGCCCAAAATCGTATCAATCTCAAAAAAATCTAACTCCCGATCTCGTTTTCGATCCTGATCCTCCACCTTGACCTTCACCGACGCAGGGGTTCGGTTTCCTTGCGGTGGTACGCAATCCACCTCCGCGTAGCCCCGCTCCACGAGATCGTTCAAAAGCACTTCTCGGCCTGCCTTACGCTCCGCCAGCTTCTCTTCGTGCATGTTCCCTTCATTCTCCACGGCTACGGCCGGCTCGACATCGAAGTAGCGCTGCTCGAGCTCGCTCACCCAGCCCTGCAAACGCGCGCGTTCGTCCTCGCCCTCCGGCACCGCCCGCACCGCCTCGCGAGCACAGTACAAAAGAAAAGGTTGATTCTCCTTACTGTAGAAATACATGTGCTTTTCGAGCGCATCCATGCACACCTGGCGACTCTCCGTGTTGGTGCTAAGCGCGAGTTCAATCAACAGCTCCTCCGCAATCGTTTCATGCAGGGAGTAGCGGCTGAGCTCTCGCAACAGACGCCCGCTCTGCATCGAGGAGCGCGCGGCGTTGGTGCGGATCGACGAATTTCGCGCGTGGTTGTTCACGCTCTCGTTGCCGTCATGGTTCTTGTTACGGCCTCCATTGTCCTCAGAAGGGTTGTTGGGGTTGGGGTTCGCTTCCGACAACTCCTTATTCACGCGATGCGCCGTTTCGGGGTCGATATCGCGAATTTGGCATAAGGTAAAGGGATCCGACAGTTTCAGAACGAACTGAATAACCTTCGCCGCCCAAGACGGTTCCCGCAGCAGGAGAACGCGGAACGCGGCCACCCCACCCTTCGCAAACCGCTCCTGCTGCTTTGGATGGCTGGAAGAGAAGCTTCGAAGGAATTTGGTTAGGTAATCCACTATGAAAGCGCTCGTGGTGTTCTGATGCTGGGTGATTCGCGCACGCACGTGATGCAAAAGGAGCTCTGCCATGACGCCCGTTATGGCGTCCTGGGGGATGCGGTTGCAACTCAGCAGCTTGCAGAATCCCACCAAAGTAATCGCGTTTTTAGGCTTCTGAGATGGGCAGAGGTAGTAACGAAGCGTCGAAAGCAGGTTGGCGCCCCCCACTTTGTGAACATTCTCCTCCGCAAGGGCCTGCTCGTGCTGCAGCCGCACGTCGATCGCGTTTTCGGAGTTAAACAAGGTCGCAGGGTTGAGGTTCGAAGGCCTCTTGGTGGTGTCGAAAAATCGCAGTCCGTATTCCATAACGAGGTCGAAGGCAACCCCGATGGCGGCCAACGGTACCGAGGTGAAGTCGTTTCGCACGGGTTCACTCGTTTCGGATAGAATAAGCGGCATAAAGGTGTGCACGGCGTTGGGGCTGATAAGGCACTGAAGCGCCAGCGCCTTGGTCGCCGCCACTCGGACCGCCTCATTATCTAGTTGCCGCCCTAGGCGAATCATTTGAGAGCAAAAAATCGGAATATCATCCCCACGCTGCGAGTGAGAGAGAAAGGCCAGCACCATAAGCTGCATGCGAAGCAGAAATTTCTCATCCCGGTCAATCGCCTCATGAAGGTGGTCGAACTCTTCCTGGGTGGCGGTTCCGGCGCGAATAAGGGCCTTCATTCGCGCTAAATCCTGCTGCCGCTCACGGCTTTTCCGACCTAACGCCTCGACATCGTCAAATCCCAAGCCATGTCGCTGTGGCAGCTTTAGACTTCGAAATAGCGAATCCAACGCGGACGTGATCGTCGTAGAGGCCTCCTCAGGGGTTCGCGTCGTCAAGAACTTCAACGCACGCACCGCGGCATCGACGAAAAGCCCAGGGTCGTCATCGGGTACGACTTTTAGAATAAAGTTAATGATGCGCAACAGCGAGGTTCGGGTGTTGTTATCGGCGTGAGCAAGGTAGCCGCTTTCCTCATAAATGTCAAAGACGGAAAGCAAGATGCGCAGCATATTTTCCGCGTCCTCAATGTTGCGGAAGCGAACCGTTTTGGGCTCCACATCCGGCCGCGCGTAGGCGTAGACCGTATCCTGCAGCACTGCGCTAAACTGCTCCAAGGAGAGAAGCAACGACGTCTCATCCCCAGCATCTGAATCACACCTCGCTTTACAGTCTATCTTCCACATCAGCAGCCCCGGGGCGTGAATGTCGGCGAGGTTGATCTCAAAACGCTGCGCAGGATCGCGCCTCTGGCAATATCTGAGCAACTCAGTCCCGACCACCTCGAAAGGATCCAAACTCAGTGAGTTGCAGCCACCCATCATCAGCTCTAAAAGCGCCGCACACTCCGCCTTGTAATCACGCTGTAGCCAGCAATTCAACAACGCGGCGCGGCACGCAATGCAGACGGACGCGTTTGAATCGTTTAACCCGTCGGAAATGCGATCTGCCATTTTGACATTTTTCGCGTTCGCGTACGCCATAATATAACGCCAAGGGAAGCGACCAAGCGCATCCCACGCCTCGGAGCGAACCCGCGCGACGACATCCCGCGTGCAGCGCACCATACCATGAAAATAACCTTCGAGAAACTCCTTTCGTGGAACCACACATCGGAGGATTTGCCGCCGCACATCCGCGTTCGTGTCGGTGCAGAGAAGCACAAGGAGCTGCTGCGTTACATCGCAGTCCTTCTTCCCCGTCTGAAAGGCCGCCACGGACGCAACCGCCATCTCCCGCACCGGAGCCCACTTATCATGCACGCGTTTTTTCAACGCCTCGGCGATATCCTGGTAAAGATCCTGCCTTTCCTCGGAGGTGTTGCTTTGGTCGACGAGTTTGAGAAGAGTTTTAAACGTGCTGACGACGGCTAACCGCACGGTCTTCTCGTTCGCGTTGTGCAGTGGGAGAAAGCACTTTAGGATCTCCACGGTGATTCCGTCGGAGTGCACAGTCTCCTTAAGACCTTTGCAGACCTCCGCAAGAAAGGCGTAATGCCGCTTAAGCGCATCGGCCGTGATCTGAGGGACCTGCTTTAATATCAGTAACATCACACTGCACATTGCTTCACGGAATTCTTGTGGGTGTGCTTCACCGAGCGCTATCAGTTCTTTTTTGTATTTCTGCGCATGAGCCGCACTTCTATGGACTTGCTGAAAGATAGACCCGACACTTTCGAGGGAGCATAGCACTGTATTCGACTTCTTTGCCGGCATCTGTATTGATGGCACTACTAAGAATCTCAAAGGTGGTAAAGACTCTTCAAGCCACACGAATGAAAGCTTAAAATGGTAAAACGTAAAGAAATATTGTATAAACAAGCAGGCGAAGGGTAAGTAATGCTCGGAAATTCTAAAAATCAGAAAAATAACAACCATACGTACGATCTTGTTGTTACTTGAAATTTGCACATCGTGGTAGAATTTGCGCTGCTTCCCTTTGCAACATTACAGGCTCTGCCTTCTTGTATAAGAAGCGATCTTCACATAAGCTATCGCACATCAGAATGACTAAAGCGTATTTTACATTTTCCATACGGAGGATTGCTATTCAAAGGCCAACTTTTTGGTGGAGAAAAAAATCGAAGGTCCTAAGGAAACACATAATGAGATAAATAAAAATATTGGCAACACTCAATGACGGACTCATGAACGAAAACGAGATACAACGACTAAGCTTATGCAAGAAAGCTTTCCACGGAAGAGGGTAAACCGAATTCCTTTCCCCATCTTGTCTTCTGAAATAATTGTTCCGCCACTTGACGAGATGCCTCTGCATTTTCACTACTGAGTTTTTTTAAAAAGACTCGAGCTAAATCGCGTTGCTGTTTGGCCTCCATCGCAAGCTGCAGTGCCATAATGGTATTTCTAACGGCCGCGCCAGCATCATACAAATTTACCTTTTTATCCTCTTTGTCCGCCTCTGCGATGGTGCGGTTAAGAGTATCCAAATAAGCTAGAAGCGCCTCCGCATGCGTGAGCCCACCCTTGAGTGTCTGAAGAATATGTAGCTTAACGTCTAGCAACTTGAACATAGCGGATATCACCCCTGTCAGGGTGCGCTGAAGTGCCAATGCCTCAGGGGAGACGTCATGCCGACACCCATCGAACAACACGAAGAGCAAATCAGGAATATGCTTCTGCTCCAGCACCGCTAACCCCTCCTCCACGAGAGCGATATTCCACAAAACTTCGCAGAGGCGCTCTAAAAACAGAAAGTGTTCCTTTGGCAGGATCTCCTCATTGAGTACGGCCTCGGCGACGGCGCCCAAACGCGCACTCAAAGCATCAATCACACATTTCGCGCCACGGATGCAGACCTCAGCGCTGGCTTGGAAAGCCGTCATATGCACTAAACTCCCTAACGCGTAGAGGCCGGAGCGCGTGTGCATGGGTTCGTTCTCAAGCACGTTCGCCAACACCCTAAAAACATTCTCAACATACGCCATAGTAGCACACGGGTACTCCACATCCGCGAGAATAAACTCTTTGTGAGAATCCGGATACATCAACCAGCGCACCCCCGCAAAGTCACTCGCTATCTGCAAGATCACATGCAGGGCGGCCTCTCTCGGGTCGAGCTCCGGCACCTCATCGTTAGGATTCGCCGGCTTCGTTGCCTGGTCAAGAGCCGCGGCGAGCCCGCCACCGAACACCACTGCATAACATCCCTGTGGAATGATACAAAGCGACCTCAAGAGCATAAAGCACTGATGCTCCAAAATTCCCAACACAGGCTCTCGGTTAAGCAACGAAACAATCAGGGGGACGACACCCTTCTGGACAAGCTCCACCTTCATCTCCTGCGAGGCGGAGTAGGCGTAGAGGTGATGCACCGCCTTGATGCGCTCCTCCTCGCACACCACCGGGTTGCTGAGGCTTTCTAGAGAAATGTCCACGGTAACGGGGAGAAAGCCACGGAAAACCTTTCCGGCATCCCGCAAACGTTCACCTGCAAACCCTTTTTTAGGATCATATGGATAGCGTTCCGGGAGGCAGTCGCTCACGTAGTGCTTGACGCTGCGCGCAGCTTCGGCCATTAGATCCAATTTTCCTACGGCTATTGTTCACGTTAAGGAATAAAAATGTGACCAGTCGATATAAACAAAAAAGACGTAAAAAAGGTGGAATTGAGCATAAACATGGGCACACAAACCAGCAATTGACTCACAGGAGTGCCTCATAGATGAACTTAACAGTTGTTGTTGTTGCTTTTAGACACTTAGTAATATATTTTGACGACGACATAAAAAATTTTAAACTTTTCTTTGCTTGAAAAGATGATTACCAATCTTTTTTCCTCGATAAAAGAGAAACAGAAATACTAGGTTAAATAGAAAAGCTTCCCTTTTTTACAGTACTTCTATTTGAAATAGGATGACGCTCGAAGTCTAAACAATAGGTTAAATGCGATAAATTATATTTAAAAAATGGAAAATATTGATATACATATTTCTTCTGTTATTCTTCCTCGTTGTATGACTCACCAAATTATAGGACATTTTTGCTGATAGCAGAACCATTTCAAACGATCCCGATTGGTGCAGGAATAATAACAAAGGATATATGCCTTTGACTACTTTTCCTATTTTTCCCCCCTCTGAAATTACTATAAATACAATCTGAATAATTTGACTTTACTTGATACATGAGCATTTCAATAATTACAGAAAAAAATGAGCCCATGTAGTTCTGCCTATAACACACTATAACTTCGCTTCGCTCAAGTGTTCATGGTATGTAACCTTTTAAGGACAGTATCGATATGTCCGTGTGAAAATAAACCAAATCAATCTATGGGGACCACCCCACACACGTTGAAGGGCAGATCCTCCTCTTATTCATCAATAGGAACAAAGTAGCCCATGCTAGCCGCCTCGTTCTTAAGAAAAGAGCCGAATTCAATCGTTAACCTCGTCATGGCGGTGATGGCATAGTTCACCAAGTCCTCCGGGCAGAGCATGTTCCCCTCATCCCGGCAAAGCAGCTCGACCACGATCGGGGTGAAAAGACCTTCATAGAGCAAGCATCGCACCTTCGTCACCTCCTTTGCCGCCGCCGAGGTGACCAGCACCGACATCGCGGGACTGACTGTCTCACCGAGCCGCGCGATCACCTCGAGCCGGCGCGGCATGCTATGCACCACCACCACCCGCGCCACCCCCGCCGTCAGCTCCAGCACCCGTCGGTGCTCCAGCACGGAGTCGTCGTGGAAGGTCATCGCCTGCGGGACGCTGACCCCGGCCGCCGGGCGTGGGGTGTGGTAGAAGACGAACAGCCGGGACAGCCCCCCGACGGCGACGAGGTTAGTAAGGAGGTCCACCACCCGAGCCGCGTCCGTTGTCGGCCCTGTGACACACACGACGTCGAACCCATACCGCCGGGTTAGGACCTCCTGCAGCACGACCAACTCACTCAGCGCGGTCCCCTCACTCACGGAGCTGTCCCAGCCTAGGATGATGAGCGCGGTGCTGCGGCCGGCCCAGTCCTGGACGGCGGCCTCGCCCACCTCCGTGCGCGTGGCATTCGCGGGCGTTCGCAGGGCCCCCATGACCACCTCATTGGTCGGGTACGTCTCCGCCTCGTCGGCGTGGAAGACGATGAAGTGGTAGGATCGCAGGCCGGACTCGTCGGTGGTGTCCTCGACGGTGACCTGGAGGTGGTGGGAGGCCTGGACGTCCTGCGAGGGCGCCTCGGCCACCTCGAAGGCTTGCAGCTTGGAGAGGAATTTCACCTTCGCGGCGTTGATGCGGCTCTGCAGCTCGGGGTGCTTTTCCATGTTCGATGATATATGGAGCAGCACTTTGCTGATGCTTTGGATGTCGAAGAGGTTGCAGCTGGAGACGAACTGCTCTGTGGGCTTTTGGATGCAGGCTTCGATCTTGGGCAGGAGTGTGAGCTCGTTTTCGAGGCCGCCGGGGATGTGGTCATAGGTTTGCAGGGGCGAAGGCTTCACAGTCACACGAGGCTCCACCTGATCGGTGACGCTGTCGACGTCATCCTCCGTGAAAGCAACGCCGGAAGCGGCTGGGTAGGGCTCCGCTTTTTCCTCCTCCAAAGGCTCCTTCCTCTCTTCTGCCGCCGCCCCGTCGTCGTTGTTGCTCTCAGATGAAGCTTCTTCATCGAACTCGAGAGACTGCCGATTCAACTCTACCTGCTGGCGAATCGCCGCGATGGCTTCCTTAAAGTCAGGATTGTCAGTCTTAATATCGCTCCAGGTGTCGAGAATCTTCTCACATTCGTCCAGGTCCTCTTTAGAGAGGTTTGGCTCCCGAAGCCTGTATGAGAGGTCGAAGAGGGCTTGTGAAAGGCGATCCTCGATGCTCGCGGCGTCCTCGTCGTTGGTGGGATTCAAATCACGACCAACCTCCATGATGCGCGTTTTAAGGCGGTTCAAAAGCTCCGTCGCCTCGGGGCTGTTCGAGAGCAGCGCCACGCATTCCTCGTAGAGCTGTAGATACGACTGCAAAACCTCATTCGATTTCGGAGGGCACTCCTCAAGCTCAGACAGCGCCCTTTCAACGATGCCCATAATCATGCCTCCCCCCTGAGAGCTCACGACTCTTTCCACCTTCGTCAAGCTCTCCTGCACCGCCTTGACGGCGGCTACCGCCTCCTCGTTCTCTTGCCACACGACGCCGCGCTTCGCGGCGGTGTCCAGCGACTTTTGTACTAAATCGGAGAACAAAACGAGTTGGTCGATAGAAATGCTCTCACACTCCTCGATGGAACGCCGAATGAATCGAAAGACGAGGATGAAAGAGTTGATATCTTTGATGGCCTCTTGAAGGATGCTCATAGACCCCCCTTCCGTGGCGCCTTCCTCCGTCTCTGATTGCTGCGGTTGCGGCTGTTCAGGTGGCGAAGCAGCAGCAGCGACACATGACGAGGCGTCGGTCTCCCCTTCTCCCGGCAACGATGATCGCTGGCAGGCGAGCTGCAGCACCGTTTCAAAATCCTCGCGCAAACGCACCTCCTCGGCGCTGAGCTCGCCCATCGAATCCACCATCTCGAGCAAACTCCATAAAGGGGCGAGCTCCGCATCACTGAGCTCGAGGTTGTTCGTCGTTCCCTGCCGTAGCTCACGCGTAAGCTGCGCTATCATCTGGAAAAGCTCCTTCCGATCGGCGTTGGTGCTGGGTTCGCCCGCATCCTCCGCGTTCGCAGCCGGTGGAGACGTGGGAGCCTCCTCGACGGGAGCGGCGGAATCGGCGGGAACGGCGGGAACGGCTTTCTGCTGGATTCGATTTAGCTGTGCGTGAATCTGCGAAACGATGGGCTCTAAGCTTCGTCGGACATCCGGGCTCAACTTTTCGCAACGCTCCTGAATCGATTTCAGCTCTGATATGCAGGACATCACCATCACAAGACGCCTTTCCATCGTCGTTTCGATGAACTCCCTGCTCTGAATGAGATTCATGACTCCCTCGATGCGTTTCATGATATCGTGGGGATTTTCGGGAGTGGTGGTGGCCTCCTCCGCGATGGGTTCGTCCGCCCCAGGCTCAGACGTCGGACACTCGGGCTCGGCGTCGTTGAGAATCCCCTTGAGCTTGTGGTTGATTGATTTCAGGAGCTTCTCCGTCGCGGCTTGCTCAAGGGGTGGAAGCGATCGAAGGTTTTCCTCAATGCATCGCAGCTGAGGTAAAAGAACTTTTGCGAGGTTCAGCTTATCAGTCCGATCACTCTGCTGAAACATGTGAGAAGAAAGCGAGTCGTGGATAGCGGTGAGGGTTTTATTGGTTTCGCTGACTGGTTGGGGCGTACTTCCACTTTCTATATTTTCCATAAGAATCTCCTCGAGTGGGGTTACGATCCGTGTGATGAGGGCCTTGTCGCACCCCATGCTCCTAAGCACCTCGGCGGCAGAGTGGGTGCTTTTGAGAAGTTCCTTCGCAAGTTTCCTCTTTTCCTCCGGATTGGAGTTGAGGAACCGATCCGAATTCAATAAAATAAAGATGCGTTTGATTTGATTCATTGCCTCAGCCACAATATGCCCTGATTGCAATGACTCCGCATCATCATGTTGCTCACCCTCTTCTTTGACTTCCTCTTTCTTCTCTTTCGCGTTGTCATGACCGGTAAACTTATCTTCCCCGTGTGATTCCTCTGCCTTTTCAAATGAGCCTTGCTTGGGGCCCGGCAGCAGATCCAAAATACGAGTAACATGAAGCCGCAGCTCCTTTCGCTCGGCTTCGGGTACACTCGCGGTACTTTCCAGGAGCTCAACAAGCCTCTCGCGTAGTTGCCCCTCGACCGCCTGCCTGACTTCTGGCGAAACATTTTCCCGTTGAAGACGGGAGACCACTTTTAGGATCCCCTCCAGCTCCTCCCGCGCACCGGCAAGTGCCTTCCCGGCCGTCTCAGCGCCCTGCGCGGGCATCTTCTGCGAGAGCAGGTACTCATCCTCGGTTACCTCGTGAAGGCGCTGCAGAATGGTGTAGACTTGGGCAAACATCTCACAACTTTGGATCGCCTGCGGGTCGCTTGATGCCCTCAAAGGGGCCTCGATAGAACGCAGCTCCACCAAACACTCTCCGATTAACTTCCGGCGTTGGGCAGGTTCGATTTTCAGGATTTCCGGGCTGCTAACCTTCTCATACACCTCGAGCAATCGTGTGATAGCTGCGGGAAATGAAACTGCCTCGTTAGCGTTGTGAAGGAAGGTTGTGGGGGCCTGAGGATCCTGGGCAACGGCCTCCGCAGGAGCGTCTTGATCGGTATTGCGTTTATTCGCCAATCGTGTAGTGATCATACCCAACACCTTTTCACACTTCAGAACGAGCGGATCCCGCAAGGGAGGCGGGAGTACATCCGCCACTTGCAAAACTCTCGTTATTTCTTCGGCGATACGCTTTGCCGGGGCGTGAAATTCCGCGTTTGAAGTATTCCGAACTTGCTCGGATGAGAGTATCTCGATAAACTTGTCGGCCATCTCGTGAAGGGGGCGTACGCGCTTGACAATTTCCTCCGGAATTGCTTCCGGATGTGGTTTTGGCTGAGGTAGGGCGATTGGTGCTCTTGGTGGAGGGTGCGCAGGTGCATGCTCAACCGCCTCCCGTGCCCTGTCTTGAAAGTGCAAGGGCCCCGGAGAGTACATAGCTGGAGAAGCTAGGAAGCTATTGAGCTGCCGCGCCAAAGGCAACATCGCCGCCTTCTGATCGGGAATGTCGAGGCATTGGAAGTGATCGAGTAGCTTGTATAGACGCACGGCCATCTGCGCACGATGATTCGAGGCAGCTGATTCGCTCACTGAAGAATCCGGAAGCATCACCTCCATGATGAAATGGCCCGCATTGGATAGAAAATCGTTGAGAGGGAAAGATTGAAGATTAGTCGTGTTTAATGGAGTTTCTTTCTGAGGTCTAGCATTCGCGTCTTCGGCGGATTCCGTCTTCTCGCCCATGCATATCAAGTTTAAAAGAAGTGACCAAATAATCTTGCAGTCTCGATCACTGAGCCCCATCTCTTTCAACTCATGAGAGGTGAGACTTCGGAGCTTTCTTCCGTCCACGCCATGTCGCGCAAGTAAGAGAACACCGTCCGACGAAACATTCCTAGCAGCTAGCCACTTGCAGACTCTCAGACAGTCTGAATCCACTGAGGGAACATCTCTTGAAGGACTTGGAAACTTATTCGAGGAGAAATTCGAAATTATACGATATGTCGTATAAAAAAAAATTGGCACGCTCACTCCAAACGCAACTGAGGCTGCTATAGGGCGCCAGTCGGAAGGGGAACGATTCTGAAGCAGAGAAAGCATGCAGTTAATACTAATTTGTATCAAAGATAAGCTTCAGATGCAGAGAAAGGGAAGAACCGAAGCAATTTTGCGCATCCCAGTACCATAAAGGAGCAATAATCCATGTCACGTGCACGAAGCTACAGGTGAGGTTTCCATGAACAAAAAAGGCGAATCAATTTATTTTCACTCCACTCTTTTGTCATCCTGCTGAAATATATGACACCATTTTCTTTCAGCATGCATAGCATAGAAAAATTGTGCGGCTCAAATTTAAGAATAGAGACGTTGCCTGAGTGAGAAGCATGAATACAGCAAAGGACCCAGGAATCCTACCTCCAAAGAGTTCAACAAAATAGCCAACATCCATATTCACCCCGCTTTACCATCCTCTCTATCAGCTCCAAAGCGCTAATATCGTTAGAGGAATGCAGATAGACAACTGCCTCCACTAAACAAGCTATGATAAGAAGCCCACAAGGGACAAATACACATATGATAAAATGATAAGTTCAGCGGCTATTTATTCATGTGTTTGTCTTCAGTGGGAAAACATACCACCGCAGCCTCAAGGCAGAATTCATAAAGCCCACGTGGGACTCCACGAAAAGTCGGTTGCGGCAATCCACCTCGCACATTGGGTATAAGGACACCAATTTAAGAGAACATAAACACGAAGATGATGTCCTACTCTTTTTTGGTCAAAGTAACTAAGTTAAAACAAAAAAATCCGTCCGTCAAGAGTTAGCTATATGAAATAGGTAAGTAACAAAGAGGAACGAAAGGGGGGAAAAAAGCAAGGAGTATCTGATTTACGTGACATCAAAGCCAAGAGATAATGGAAGTACCTTCCACAGCCAAAGGAAGTTCAACATGCAAAGCAAAATAAAACGGTGGAAGGGGGAGGAATCAGAATCCCTTCGTAATATTTCCATTCGGAAACGAAAAACACAACGGAACGCGTAGAAAACTGAATGTTGAAATGTTTTTTATGCTGCATGCACGCTCTGAAAAGCCGAGATTTGCTCCAACAGAGCCTCCTCCTCGGCCTCCAGGGCCCTCACCTCCAGTTGGATATTCTCTAGACGAGATTCCAGTAATGCCAGGTCAGGCTCCGCAGCCCGCTCGCTCTCCAGCGCCTCCCGCTCAATGTGCAGGCACTTCTCAAGAGAACGGTTTTGCTTCTCAAGCGTGTACAACAGCCTTAACGACTCGGTGTGGTTCTGTTTATCATCCCAGCCTAGTTTTTTTGCTAAATCGCTTCTCCACTCCTCGAGAGCGGTGGAAATATCCCCAACAAGCCGATCCTCGGCGTCGCTTGCGGCCGCTAGCTCTGCATCCATGGACTTCTGGATGTTTTCCTCCAGAACGATACGCGGAACAGGGCCAGGTGGACTTGTAATCGCCACACCTAAATCCCCGTGCAGAGAAATTTCGGCGAGTCCTTGGGGTAGTTGCTGAAGGGCCAAATGACGGACTTTATCCCCCAAAGCGACTTGTCTGCTGAGCTGACGCTTGGCGGCAGATACAATACTTTCCAGTTCCGCCTGAAACTGGGAAAAGAACTCCTCGTTGTTGTCCGTGAAGTAATCTGAAACTTCGCTTGGGAAGGCACTTAGGTCTTGTGAAGGGACATCAAGGACAGCCTCCACCATGCGATTTTCAAAGCCCACGTTGTGAAGCACAAGCTGCATGAGAAGCGAAGCCCTTGCGGCGCGAACCTCAAGATCCGCATTTAGAGCGGTGAAAACACGCAAGCACGAGTTTTGAAGCTGCACCACCCTCTCGAGAGTCCTCACATGGATCTCCGTCAGAGTATCCGACAAGGAATGAAAAACATCTTCAGATCCACCGCTCACGTTATCCGCAGATTCAGCGGAATCCGGGCTCTTCAACATCTCCTCTACTCGACGGATTCTCGAGATGATGCTAGTGTTGAATCTGTGCATTTTTTCCGTCGTCGTGGGCTCAGCCAACGGGCAATCGGTGGTTTGTTCTTCTGAGGACGCCGCGCCGTCTTCAGTCGTATCACTGGATGAGAGAAGACGACGTAGGAAAAGCACCTCACGTCCAATCTCGTCATTTTCTCGCCTGAGTTCCATCTGGTGCTGCTCCGCTCTGCAGCGTCTCACGACTTGGTTATATTCAAGAGCCTTTTGCTTGACAGACTCATTTCTGAGAAGTAATGCTACCACAACCTCTAGGCGCTTAGTTTCCTCCGCCAGGTCCTTATTCGCCAAAACTGCCAAAGCATGCTCCGACGAAAAGAAAGGGGATCGAACCGTTGCTTCCGCAGCTAGCTTTGCCAAGCGCACGGCGCCCTCTCTTTTCAACCGCCCAAGAACACCCATCTTATGTTGAATGGAAGCCTCTTGAGCATGCAAATTCGTGCGAAGTTCCATGTACTGTTGGAGTTCACTTCGGATGTAGTCAATGAAGGCATATAGCAGATCATCCTCCGCGATTTTCACGCCCTCCACCCGGGTTTGATGGATATCCTCAGTGAGAACCTCCACCCAGTGCTGAAGTCTCGTCGCGTCGAAAGCCAGAGGCGCGGCCTCCTCGTCGCCCTCCTCGCAGGACTCGGAGGCGCTTCCGGCAAGAAGCGGTAGAAGATCCTCCCCCGCCTCACCGCGCGAGGAATGTGGAGGTCGATCTGACGGTATCGCGGCGCCGAACTCGATCGAATCCTCACCCCGCGCGATCACCGCCTCGCCCTCGTGAAGGCGTCGTTGCAGCGTTGCGAGAATGGCCTGCGGTGCATCCGACGCGAAAGAGCGCGCGGGGGGATCGCCAAGCGTTGGTATTTCGTCAAGGTCGTTTAGTCGTTTCCGCAGATTGGTATTCCGATCCACCAACGTGTGAAGTTCGGCAAGGTGCCCCTCTGCCACCTCGCGACGGCGGCTTCCAAGGGTAGACTCGGATAAAATAAGCGCGTTGTATTTGTTCTCGCGCTGTGCTACATCATAGTTCCCAAATGGGGTGTCCGGCACCACCTCCTCTTCTTCCTCGGCAAATGGGTTTTCTAAAAAGCTCATCGAAGCTACTCTCTCTAGCTTTTCTCAAATGTGATCCAATACATAATTAAAACATATAGGTACATGAAAAATGGAGGAGAAGAAAATGAATGAGGTCAATTTCATTCAGCACGGAGCAAAAATGCCTAAACGCCCTACAACAACAGTTTTCCTCTAATTTGTCAGTGTAATACGCAGCTTCATGTGAGGTTTTGAACACTAAAATAAAAAGGGTCAAAAGCATCATAACTAACCAAGACTATTTACTTCCTCTCTTCTAAGTGGAGTTACCCGGGCTTTGTTCCTTTAAATTCAACTTCGTCCGTTTCGCTAGATAACATCTAAGTGCTAAGTATAGCTCAGTAGAAGCTTAGTAACCCTTATGTATTTCTAAACTTAGTAGCTGTATATAACTATTCAGAAGTACACATACTTTCCAGCCCAAAACAAGCGTTGCAATACTAGGTAAGGTTCCAAGTTCTGAATCAACTATTACCGCAAACCGGTAATAATGAGTAACAATAACAATTCATTCTTCACATTCAACATTAATAAACTTTACTCATATACATGAATTATAATAACGCTATTTAGTCTTTGAAGACAAAGTCGATAATCCAAGTGAAGATCAGCATCACTGACTGAACTTCAATGACCTTACGAAAGTCGACATGGGGCTCACCGGGACCGTGAGACGGTCAAGTGAAAAAAACTAATAAACAGTCCAAATTAAAATCCAAAAGCGGAAACTACTAAAAGGAGAAAAAAGAAAAATAAACTTTGCCTCTCCCTCACCCCTCCTCTCATCATCACATCGGCACGTCTAGTAGTCGCCTGTAATTTTTTGCCTTAAACGCCAAACGTGCGTGGTCGCATCTTGTCAGAATTAAAGGGAGAATGTCATACATCCTTACTAAGAAACATCTGCAGCTTTTTGTTTGCTCTCCCAAAGAGAGAGCTTCGTGATGGCATTTGCGTTGTGGTCAAACTTAGGACCAAGAAACTCGCACAGCTTTTGTTGAATCTCCACATTGCTCATCCCGCTCATCGTCTGGTGGTTAAACAGCTCCATCGCGTTATCAAGCATTTCCCTGCCGAGCTCCTTCACTAAAATAGCGCGCGCCTCGTTGGCGGGAATGATGGTGCCGTTAGCGAGCGCGATCGTCTCCACCTGCGGCGTGAGATCGGAGTAACCGTCGCCGAACTCCTCCGGATGGCCGCCGAGGGTTTTTTTGCCGACGATATCCTTCGTTTGCCGGACAATCGCCTCCTTCTGGACGATGGCGTCGCCATCCTCGTCGACGTCGGGGTGGGCAACCTCCGTCTTCTGCGCGGCCTCGGCGGTCGGGCCGGCAGGTTGCTTCGTGATCATCTCCCGCATGCTCTGCCGGTTCATCCCGCGCAGCATTGCCATCTGCTCGCGCTCGCTGAGCTGAAGTTTGGGCTGATCCAGCGTCTTTTCCACCGCCGATGCGGACTTCTGCTCCTGCTGCGTTTTCGCCGCGGAGGCATCGTTGCATCGCCGCTCGTACTCCTTCCGCTCCAGCTCCGCCTGATGCTCGAGATTCGCGCTAATGTTCTGCAACACCCGCTGCACGTATTCTCCTTCTAAGATGCGGTTGATGCTCGGGCGTTGGGCTGGACTAGTCTGCAGAAGGCTGCAGCAGAGCGCGCGGACCTCGGAGGGCACGGTAGACGGGATGGGATCGTAGGTGCCCGATAAAATCTTCTTGAGCAGCTCCTTCAGCGTTCGTCCGGAAAACGGCCGCTGGAGGGTGAGGGTTTCGTATAGAATCACGCCAAGCGCCCACACATCGCTTTTGTTGTTGTACGGCTTGCTCTGGCATAACTCCGGTGAGAAATAGTACGGCGTGCCGCAAACCGTGCGAGCACACGCCATTGTGTTCTGCAGCACCGTCGAGATCCCAAAGTCGCCCAACTTGACGACATCTTTTGATGTAAGAAAGACATTGGCGGCCTTGAGGTCTCGGTGGAGGATGTGGTTATCATGCAGGTATTTAAGCGCCATACAAATCTGTAGAAACCAAAACATCGCCAAGTCCGGGCTGAAGGGCTTCGGTTGCTCCTGGCGCTTGGCCTCTTTCATGCGTGTGCTCAGATCGCCGCCATCCGCGTATTCCATGATAATGAAGATCAGGGTGTTATCTTCAAAGTGCTCATTGTAGCGGATAATGTTGGGGTGATTAATAGCGGCAAGAATTCGAATCTCATTTTGCACGTCACGCTTTTCCTTTTCTGTCATGCTCGTGGAATCGATCACTTTTGCAACGTAGCGCTTGCCATTTGTCTTTGAGCGAACTAGAAGAGCTTCACCAAAACTTCCTTTTCCGATATCTTTGATACAGCGATACCTGCTTCGAAAAATAACAGACTCTAGCGCCTTGTATCCATCCGCTACTTGAGCCATATTCAAACAAATAATCTGAAAAGATAGTGTAAATCGTAAGAATAGGAACCCAGTTAATGATGGTAGGCTAGTTCGCAAAAAAAAAACTAGAAATGATGATTGCTTAATATCTAGATGAATGAGGGGGCGGGGAGAAATACATTGACGCAGAAGAGTTCATTTTACTTCTATGGAGAACGAAGTAATTTAACCCAGTGGAAATGAAGGCAGTCGTAGCAACTTATCCCTCTTCCGAAACTCTCAAATATCGCCAACAAAAGAACGATTACATCAGAAAAATGACACTACTACACGCAAGAGAGTGACAAAATTAAGATACAGGATAATGCGTTAGGGCATGAATTTCACAGACCTTCTTAAAAACAAATAGTCTTGAAGAGAATACACTTCAAAGAAGGTATGAATAACTCATACACATATAGATACATAATTTGCGTTATTCACATCGGCTATCAAGAGATTGAGGGAGAGGATAAAGCTCCCAACTATAGTGAATCCTTGTACATGTCCTAAACAAGGACACATCTTCTAATTCTCAGCCTTCAAACACCGTAAATCCGATTCTTTTAATGTTCCCCGCCCCCCGCCCCCCCTCCTCCTCTCTCCCAAATACAGGGGGCGACTCAAAGAAACGTTAGTAAAATCGACGCAGACAGGATGATATGATGGAAGTCTTCCCGAACGAGTTCGGGGTCCATTTGGGTGCCTCTTTCATCCGCTGCACCTCGGTCTTTTCCGCCTCTTCCCGAGCCTTGCGGTGTTTGCTCGGTTTCCCCGACACCTGTGTGGCGGGGTCGATCCAGACGTTCGGAAACGAATTAATACATCCCCCGTTGCTCGCCTTGTACGCGGACCAGTTAAAGGGCTTTTGAATCAACGTCTTGACGTCGGCGGCGGCGCGCTTGTGAATGCTCCGACGCGACCGTGGAGTCGCCGGGGGGTGGTAATCCGCGTAAATCGCGGAAACGCCGGTGTTGGGGAGCTCATCCAGAAAGGCGTGGCTCACCCCGGGTACGCGAAAGACCGGGCCGATCGCGGGCGGCTCCACCTTCGCCTTGTGAGGAGCGCCCTTCGCCGCGAATCCTTTTCCACCTTCCTCCAGGCTCTCGTTGAAGATCTCCCGGGAGAGGAGGAGGCCGGGGTAGCCATAGGTGCCCTTTTTAGGCGGGTTTGTTTTGATATTAGGGAGATGTTTGTACTCTTCCGCGAGGGCCGCGGCGGCTGCCGCCGCCTTGGCAGCGGATTTTTTTTCCCGCTTGCTTTTCTTCCCCCCTTCCTCCCATGGCTCGGTAAGGTACTCGTACGGCTTGCTTTGGAAACATCCGTAGTAGCTTCCAGGGCCCGTGCTCTGTTTGGCAGGGGAGGTGTAGCGGAACTCTGTATCCGCGATGTTCTTCGGCGACGGGCCCGCGGGCTGAGTCCGCAATCGCTTCGCATTTGCCGCGATGACATCGGCGTTTTGCTCGGTTGAGGCGAGGGTTAGAAACTTATCCGAAAAGTAATCCCTCGAGGGGCCCGCTAGCATGGATTTGCCCAAATAGCGGGATGGAATGCAATCCTGCTTGTCATATGGATCCGTTTTCGCAGGATCCGGGTCCGTTGATATGTACGGCGGGTCTTGGAATAGGCCTCCATAAACACTTTTGTCAGTCATCGTAACGCAGTTAGGAGGGACTCTATCTTTTTACGGCTTTCTTTACTAGGAGGTTTCGAAGACGTCGATCAATACGACCTAGATTAGATGAAAGATGCAAAGACGACGTTCAAAGGGGTGGATGAATGTTTCGCAAAAAGAGGAAGGTAATGCAGACGTAACGTAGAAAAGATCGCAACATTAATCCGCAACTACATAAAGTCATGGAAATAGAAAGTGTCATAATGTCCCTAAGGATGAACTTATTACAATACACCTACGCATACGCCTTCACTGAAAGGAGTAATATGAGAAATACCGCATTCAAAAACATGACGAATAAAGAAAAAAGGAGATAGAAATGAGTGCAGAACAGCTCACACATTAAATAAATTTACTCCAGCGGGAACTTGATTGAACATGCAATTCTATCCGTGTCAATGACTTATTATAAACGCAGAAGAAACTCCTTTTCGATCATTCTAGCACCAGCTAGAAGCTAAAGGAAACCTAATTCAATGCATTAGTATTCGTACGTTTGCGTACAACAAGAATCAATAAGCCTTGAAAAACACGCACACCACAAAAAAAAGGATAGCGCCATCACGCAAAATCATGATGATCGGTGGGCTGCAAGTCATCCATAGGCATCACACCGTCAAAAATTCCCGATATACCATCTATATGCAAAGGGTCATTTGGTTTTGGCTCCATCTCGTCGGTCACCAAATCAGGAGCATCTAAGTCATCCATTGTCGCACCCATGTAAAAGGAATGGCTTTTTCGGAAGTTCTCGAGAATCTCACGCTCGTATGTCTCGCGCTCAGCCTTTTTTTTGGCCTCTAGCAACGTATCGTCCTCCTCTTGGCGCTGTATTTCAGTCTGAAATCCTGAAAACGTATCCCGCCAAAGCTCGGACATCTTTTCCAGAGTAGAAGAATTATCCTGGCCCACCGCAAGGAGACGTTTGAAGCGTGTGTCGTATACTTCAATACAGTACACAGAGACGGACTTTATAAAGGCGCGATTCTCTACCTGAAACTTCGACTTCGCCTCCAGTTGAAGGAATTTGTGAGCCGCCATGAGACCTTTCTCAAGGATTCCACGCATCTTGCGCCCCTCATCAGCTTTTAGGATGTGGGACTTGGCGACCTGTCGAAGAAAAGCCGAGCAGCACAGCAGAGACATATTGTAGAACAAAATATGCTGTGGATTCTCGGAGTCCAAAACTTTCGATAGGACCTCAATGGCATCATCATACCGCCCCTCGCTTGCGAGGCAAAAGGTATACGAAGAATCCTGTTGGGGGGTGCGAAACTTATTCGCTTCCAAGTAATCGATAGCCTGTTTGTAACGCTCGCTGAGCACCTTGACGTTGGCCATATGAACAAGGTGGTTATCACGCACATACGCACAATTAGGCGTTACCTCACCGACATGATCGAGCAGGGATTGACAGCAGGTGCAGTTGAGCTCTAGCCCAACGCAGCACGCCAGTCCGTGTGCGGCTAGGATGTTCCCCTTATCCACCCGAAGAACCTCCTTGTAACGATACTTGGCGTACCGTAGATACTCGCGGCTATCCCTACCGTACTGTTGGCAGTACCGCAAGTAGGTGGCGCCCAGAGTCAAGGCAACGGGGATTGCCTTCGTTTTGGGGTTGGTAAGAATGTTCAACGCCGCGGAGCAAAGCTTCTGTTCAAAGAAGATCTGACCAAGGGCGGCCTGCGCCATAGGCTCCTGCGGGATCACCTGTTGAAGCAGCACCAGCCACGCAACCGCCTGCTCGTGGAGCCCGGCCTCCTTGCAGAGCTTGTGGAGACGCAGATAGGGGAGTCGGAACCCGCTTTGCTGCTTCACTAGAAAAATATAAAGCTCGCGTGCTCGCGCGCGATCCTTCGCCTCTAAGAGCAATGCCAAATTGAAGACCAAGGGAACATGCTGCACGGCAAAACCTTCCCGGTGAAGGAAATCCCCGCCAAGTTCGTGATCCACAATGGCCTGCATGGCATCCGTATCGCCACTCAACACCGCGATGTTCGCCTGCAGCTGCCACGGCGGGTTCAGGCCCAGCTTCTTGTGCGCGTGAATGAGGTGCGTCAGAAGGCATTTGCTTTCGTCGGTATCGAGCCGAGCGCACCACGACGCCAGGGACCACGAGCGCAAATCCCCTTCCGCCACGCTCGTCGTTAAGAGGCTACAGTACTTGAAAGCCCGCTCGTGTTGCCCGAGGCGGGTCGCATGCACCGCCAGGAGCTGCAAGACCTCCTTCTGGTTGGGCTGGTCCTGGTTGATCTTTTCCAAGAGCTGGGCCGCCTCATTTTCTCGGTGGGAAAGCACAAGCAGACGAGCGTAGTGCACGCGCGCTGCAAGAAGTTTGGGAAAGGTGCGCAAGGCGGACTCCAACAACGGCTGTGCCCCTGAAAGGTCGCCCGAGGCCAGCAGAAGGCGCCCCTCCTGAAAGTCCGCTAAAGCGCACTCATCGATGGAGCCAAAGCGACGCACCTCGTCCAGTGTAGATTTAATCGCCGGAATTGAGCTCTTGATACGCCTTTGACTAATCGCCTTGAAGTACATGAGGTCTGAGACCTTGAGCAACACCATGGTGTTGTGGGGAAGCATTTTGCTCAACCGTGCGACCGTCTCAACCACTTTTGAAGTCAACCGACGGTCAAGATACACCACAAGAAGAGCAAACAACGCAAGCGCATCGTTAGGATTTATCTGAAGAGCATGCTCAAGAAAGGCCCGCGCCTCCGCCGGGCGGCCGAGATGATACGCACAAAGTCCCATACCCACACGAACGATCGGCGGAGTCGCGGTGCTACCCAAAACGCTAAGCACCTCCCTATATTCGCTGAAGCTGGTCTTGTAATCTCCTAATTGATAATATACAGCAGCTAGCCCAAGATGAGCGAGTGTAAAGTGTTCGTCTCGTCGTTTCGCCTCCTCAAACTTCAGCCGAGCGGTTTGGAGGTTAATATTGGCGAGTGCGGCAAGCCCCTCCAAGTAACACGTCAAAGCTGCGTGCTGCGGAGCTCCAGCAGCCAACTCCATGACCTCCACCACGCGTTGATTCTTTCCCTGCATAGCAAGAGTGGACGCTCGCATACAACATACTGATAAAATGTCATCTATGTTCATGCGTGTTGCCTTCTCCTGCATCACAGCATCGAGGATAGTATCCACACGTTCTACTTCACCATGGCTAAAGGCCTTCAGGGCCTCGTACATTCCCTCTTGTGCTTCTGATCTCATTAGGTGTCAGCTTAGAGGAAATTTCCTATTATTTCACGGTTGATAGTATTGCTTTATAATGATTAATAAAGGACTTTCTTCGTATTTTTTATTACCTACAGAGTTCTCTCTGTATTTTCTTTGTAATTACTTATTCCAAATTTTTTAAAAAAAATAGGAGCGAAAGAACATCATTATAATTCGATTTAACAAACCTCCTTAACTATCTGCCCAGTTTGGTGATCCTGCCTCTTTTCCTTGCTCTAAAGAGGAAGATCAACGGCTCTAGAGAAAAAATAGTGTTAAAGTCCCAGGTTACCGGGTTAGAATTTAACTAACACTCCCCAACATCTCCGCAGTAAACACGCGAAAGAAAAGAACAAATGAGGGGATAAAAATCCGTACATTCGCTCTCAGGAGTCCCCGTCGTCGGCCTTAGCGTCATTATCTGCACCGGACGAGATGATGGGCAGCCCCAGGTCCTCCCTGCAGAGAGTCACCTGCCAGTCCGCTATACGTGCGATTACCTGGTTGAGATTTGCAAAGAACTCCACCGCAGCGTACAACGACCCTACAAGCTCAATCCTGGTCGAGAGCAGGAAATATGGCAGCATGGACTCCTCCGGCGGGAGATTCAATCGTGCGCGAAACGCTTCCAATTTCATAGGCGTGTTATGCGCCATATCCACGAAAAGCTGTGGCTCTGCCTGATACACAAAATTAGAAGGTAGCAAGCTCGCCAAGGTTGAGACCCCCTCGGCGTGGAAACGTAACTTATCGTTGCTGTACTTAGCGTATGCCTCGATAATCTTAGACCCAACGCTCACCACACGACCCCCGAGCCTCGCGCTAAGCTTGATTGTTGGCACGTTCGCGTAGTAGATCTTTTGCTCTCGCGCCGTTTCATTGCGACATAGAAGCTGACCATAGGGGAATAAATGGGGAAGACGAAGTGCATTCTGAACAGATGTGCGTATGGAGTCTGAGATGGGCCGGAAGAGCGCCGGCTCGCCATCCGCTACTGAAGGTGCTCCCACACCCAACTCTTCGATGCACTCCATCGCCGCCACGAAAAACCCACCCGTATCCTGCGCATGCGGTAGGATACGACGCGAGAGGTGGATGTGTTGCTCCTGAAGTCGCTCGGGGTTGGGAAACATACTTTCTCGATACTGAAATCCCTTTCGCGGTTGTGAGGCATCCATATACGCCTTAGCCTGCTCAAAAGTGTAGAATGTGGTATCCAGGCTCTTACTCGTGAGGTTCCACGTCGCGAGTCCTGGTGACGATTTCAACCCTGGCAGCAGCGGCTCTGTTTCGATAAGGCGAAACATGCCTTTTGCCCGATGCAGGCATTCGGAGACGACAGCTTCATCCTCAACTGGATTCAAGCTGCACGTGGAGTACACCACTATACCTCCCTTTCTGCACAGCTCCATGCCCCGCATCAAGATACGGATCTGTATGAGATGCAAATCGGCCCCTTTCACCGGATTCCAGCGTGGCCACATATCTACCGATTTGCGTAGCGTCCCGTCACCGGAGCAGACGACATCACATAACACACGGTCGAATTTATGCTCGGATGAAAGGGAAGGAAAACGGGCAGCATCGTAGTTGGTAACAATGAGGTGCGAATGGGCACCAGACAGCCGATTTGTCTGATGTTGAAGGACGTCTAAGCGTGACGCATTCACGTCGTTTGCGACCACGACGCCCGTTTGTGGCTCTGAAATTAGGGTTTCTAATATCTGAGAAGTCTTGCTTCCAGGTGAGGCACATAGGTCCAATACGCGATGTCCAGGCTTAACTTGAAGTAAGACTACAGGAATCATGCTGACGGTCTCCTGGCGGGTTAAGTATCCACCCTCGTTGAGCGCAGCAATCAATTTTTTGATCGATTTGTAGTTCGCATTACGCTTCAAATCACCACGGCTCACGTCGCATTGCAATGCCATTTGGCGCGGAAAGAAAGGAAGTCGCCGCACCTGAAAAACAGAACCCAAGAGGCCCTCCACATGTTTCAAAACAACCTCTGAATGCAGTGTAAAGAGACTCACTCGGAGTGCCATAGGCAGACTAGTGCGTAAGCATTCCATGAAGAAATCCCATTCAGATTCAGGCACGATGTGATTATTTTTATAATACATCTCAAAGCTCTTATTTTGGAGGAGCGTGGCATCACGCGCATCTGTAGTCCACTCATCTGGCCGCTCACGTTTGTTGCCACCCCTTCTTGCCTGATTTCTACTTGTCATCTAAACGTCTCCTTTTCCCTCTCTTAGGACATACGTAGTTTGGAATAACTCATAAAGATAGGAAATAAGGGTATGGGAAAGGTGAAAAAAAAGCATATAAGAAGTTCAATGTCGAAACAGAGCTCCGCTTTCTTCTATTTTGACACCAAACTCGTTGTCGGATATAATTTCAACTATCTTATTGAATTCAAGATGATATAACATTCACCATTAAGTTCGAAGTATTTTCTAATTGGAAATACTCTGATATGAAATAGCGGCACCCTGGAAAGCAAATAAGATTAAAAAAGAAGTTTAAACAAGTAGGACACCAAGAAAAAAGTTCACAGCATTTGGAGAATAATAATAACAATAATCGAGGAGGATTTGAAACCGATTCGCAGACCAACTATGCTTTTAAAAAGTCCCTTCAGAATTTACATCCGCTCTTAGATGTAGTTGCTCTGTTTATTCATGTAAATTGATGATTCTGATAGATACATCTACTCCATTTCGTACATAACATCATCATTATCTGCTGGTTTCTGTTTTGGTGGGTCCTTTGGTGGTTGGGAAGTAGGGGCCTTCACTTGCTGGGCCTGGAGGTGATGAAGTGACGTGGCTAAATTATGTCCATCCTTACTAAGCATATATGACACAGTGGGTGTCGTGGAAAACTCCTTCAAGGAGATACTTTTCTTCATTAAGTGCCAAATGATAATTGCTTACAGATACGGATATTGTTTTTCCTTTTTATTCACACAACAAAGATACTTCTTAGTGTATATATATATATATATATATATATATATATATATATATATATATATATGTGTGTGTAGTAGT